TATCTTATCGCGTTGCTCTAACTTAAACACGCAGATAATCGAGTCAACTGATGATCACTGGGTCGTCACAACAAGACAGAGGCGAGAAAAACAAAGTGAACAAGGCAGAGAGAGGTCTGCTTCCGTCTTCTGAGTTAACATTCCGTGTTTTCGGGGCTGGTGAGTCTTGCAAAAGGTAAGCTGTTACAGTTTAGGGTGAAAGGCACTTTGACGTATTTCACGATAAGAGACATATTAAAAGACGGTAATGAAACAGGCGCAGAATGGCAATGCGCACGATAGACTGACTTTATTTAACAATTTACAAAGCAGAAAATCGGGAGATAAACAACGCTATGAGAAAAAGATCTAATATCTGACGCTTTACCGTATTATTCGCAGACCAAAAAGTTAAAACCATTTTCAACAGCATCATAATTAAACAGGGACGTAACTGAGCGGTAGCTTTCATTTAAATGGACACTGAATAGACATACGCCGGGGTTCCATTCACCGACTCACTGTTAGAACCGGCCTGTGCTTCATAAGAAACAGTGTACAATGGCTTTCATGTACATAGTCCGGGCCACTAAATGATTTCATCCACAAACTCAAAAGTTCGAACGACTCCTGACCTTGTTTCAGAGCATAAAAAACGGCACCATAGCAAAATTTTGCTCCAGGGAGCTTTCATTTGAATCCAGACTTGAAAGTTTGAACCACCTTGCACAGCGTAACAAACAACACCACAGGAAAGCGTTTTAATTGAATGGTCACCCTTAAGGATTTTATTAGACTCCGAAGTTCCTACTATCTTGTACAGTATAATAAACAGTACCGGCCTTGGAAACTACTGAACTAAGCCACCTAGCGCCGCGGTAACGTTCATTCCGCGGGAAAAAAACTCCAAATTTTAGCGCCGAACATCGGTCGCCGGTAAGTCCTAACAACTGACTCCTTTTTCAGTTGTGTTCATTTGCATAGCTACAATTTAGGAATTCATACACAGAGAAAAAAGTCAGAGCCACACCGTGAGTCAGGCAGTTCTTTACAAACAGAACCGCAGGAGAGTACTATTGAATTGCTTTTACTTGAATGGTCACACTGAGGAAAATAAATAAATACAATAAAAAATAGAATCAAGCGTCGAAAGAACAAAAAAATGAATGGTGAGGATGTTAAACTTGGTTGCCAAATTGTTGTCAGGAGTCGTTTCAGTCGCTCAGAGATTCTGGAAAGATGGAGATGATTTGGAGCTTTAAAAATTTATTGACGTAGTTTAGTCGCCCCAGTCAACGCGCATTTAGTCTGGATTGAGACGGATTATTATCTGGGAACCAGAATCTACTCGTCTATCAAGCCCGATCAAGCTTCTCTCGCAAGGGAGTTTATACAAATGGCGGCTACTAGCTATTTAGATTCATAAACCACCCTGGAATATACAAGGCTACGGGGATTCCGTAAACAAGCCGTAACAATTTCACAGCCAGTAGGACACTTAGAAGCCTCGGGCAAAACGTTGGACTTTGTCGTAAGCGGACAAACATGAGGTCAAACCAAAGATTGCAAATTAATGTTTACGGGAACGTCTTAAAGAAGTACCTCTGTTTCTCAGTGCAAAATGCTTCGAAGTTGATTTGACCAAGGTGTTCGCTAAAGAGATAGCTGAAAGGACGTGTGGAATAAAGCATTTGTTTTAGCGAAAAATTTTATCAATGGAGGGCACAATACAGATACTTAGCGTCAAAACCACACGTTGAACAAAACAGATGCTAATTAGCTCAGAACAAAATAGGTCAAATTAAAGCTTGCTTTTCAAAGAGAGATAATGTTGTTGACTTCGCGAAAGCAAAACAGCCCACAATTTCGAAAACAGTCTAAATCCTCTAACATGCCGTGACTTAATATGCAAAAACTTGCAAAATTTTCTGTTCGGTATTCAACCTCTTGAAAGCAGACTTTCTTCTGTATACGACTTTTAAAACTGCTGAACAAAAGGCCTTTTCTTTTTTTAAGTTGTTTGTGGTTTCCTTTCCAACAGAGAACACGACGCTCTATTTGAACCTTTCTACGATGCCAAGCACACTTAAATGTTTTGAAAAAAAAAAAAACACAACAAGAAAAACGGATCAACTTACATCCAAGTTTCATAAACAACCGTAGTCGAATACCTCGAACTCTTTCAAGCAAAACCAAAGACTTCGTGATAAACAACACGCACCAGCAGTTAGTTCCCTAAGGGTGAAGGGCGAGGTTAAAAGGTAATGTCGTGCAATTACATCAGAATTGTCTGGTAAGACTCAACGGACATGAAATGTTTCATGAGAACAAAAGCGTCAAAACACGGTATAAAGTTCACCAAACTGATGCAATATCCGCTCCGCAAAGAAATCTGGACACTGTTTATATGCAACCTAAGGAAAAAACAATTTTTTATCTATCTCCTACGGTAATTGTTTTTTAAAACGCTTCACTTGTTTGGTTACCACAAACTCGAGAACCATTTCTCCTAATTGACATTGAGTACAACTAACTGAAAAGAACTATATACGGACAAACAAGTTGTCCAAACAAAATTTTCAGAGGATTACCGTAACAAAGAAACTACTTGCTTTGTGATTAAACCCGGTTCCCTCTGTTCCTTGGTGTATTAAAATTAGACAAGCGATTTTTTAAAAATTGCAAATAGTCGACCGCTTGGGAACAGGAAGCCTATTAAAAAGCAATTTTCAATGGATGTTCGCATTGCTCAGGTTTTTGTTTAGTTTCAATGGCATTCGCCGAGAGCGGAAACTCACTTGTTTGCTAGTGAAATGTAGGAAGTGTGCTGTTTGTATAAAAATGTTTTGACTTAGATACCTGGTCCTTTAGACAATAGAGATTGGACTGAATTCAACGAGTAAGAAGGAAAAAAGAAAAATAGAGCATGATAAAACGTTCAGATAAACTGCTCAGAACAGATTTTAACGGTGACACTTTATGAACTCGATGTGCAAAGTTGGAAAAGTTGGACCTACCTTGTTTAACTTACGGCTTGGCTTTTCATCTCCATCCATCTTACACCTCTAAGACTTTCTTTCAGTTGGCCATTTCTTTCTTGCTTTCAATAATGAAAGATCCCTCAGGTTGTGTTTCATAACCAACAGCGGTATAGCGCTAACTGGACGCTGATCCAACACAATTTACCGGGGATTTTCATGATCTGCAAACAACGATAAACACACCAACCCACCATGGGAAAAACATGCTCAGCATTATGAAAAACAAACAAATAAACAAAAACAGGAAGCCTCTGCTCATGATCAGAAGGCTTCATTTGAATGGTCAAAGTCTAGGAATTCTTCCACAGACTCAAAATTTGTACAACAGTGCGACAGGAAAAAAACTGCTCAGTAGCTTTCATTTGAATGGTCACGCTTTAGCATTTTAAACAGACTCACGAGGAAGATTGTACCTTATACAGCATTATAAACAGTTCATGACCACATTTGCAATTGAATGGGCACCGAAAACGCTGGAATTCAGTTATACACATGCCCAAAAGTTATGTTACATGTTTTTGGACAACGTATAGCCGAGGGTGTAGGCCCAAATATAAGACCATGCTAAAAGTCAAGAGGGCTAGGGTTGAGCTGATTTGACAAGTTAACAGCTCGTCATTTCTATTGGTTGACAAATGTAAATCACTGGGGCTTACTATACTATCTCTGAGGCCATCGCATTAGAAACTTTAAACAGTGACTGCGTGGTTATGTCTACCAGTTTTCAATGAGGGAGTGTTATTTCAAGACTGTTTAAATCAGCCTCTTGTGTTGCGATTCCCATCCTAAGTTGTTAGGTAAGTTTTAAACTCTATGTTGGTTAGAAATGAGGTTGAAGTTTGCCTGGTGAAAGCGTCAGATGAAGTGAACAAGGTCAAAAATGATTCGGCTTAACATGGCCGATTGTCAAACCCGATTCACGGCTTTAGCTTTCTTGTTTGAAACACCTCGAGCTAATCTTTTCAAATTTAAATTGCCTTTCACAAAATAGGCCTTGTGAAATCACTGAATAACAACTTTTCAGTTTAACAGACGATTGATTCACGCACAGACCAAATAAGTATGAACTGTTGTAACCGATCTTGAGATTACAATCAGGAAGTTAGCTCAATCTTGCATGAATAAAAAAGTTAAGCAAGGCAAGACAGTAAATTTCTTTTAGATTAAACTGAAAAATATTTGCACTTGAAATTTTTAATTTGGAGAAATGTGTAGTACCAATTTTTTGATATTAAAAGCTGGTAATAGATATTTATTCCTTCGCGCGGTCTTGTTTCTTCATTTGATGGTATCGGATGTATTTTCGATTGCTCGCGATAATTTGGCATTTTGTTTTACCGTGACCTTATAATTAGCACAAGCGGTGCTTTTAGGCTAACCGCGGTGTTAGATTAATTGTTAGTCTGCCTCAAACAAGAGTTAAATTTGAATAAGAAGTGTGGGTGAATATTACAAGCCGAGTTCGCCCGCTGCTGTTTTATGCAGGAGTGGGTCCTGTTGCAACTGACACCGAAAACGGCTGGTAAAATTTTGGGCCAATAAAAAAAGTACCTTTCTCAACTTTTCCCGCCTGTCCACGATGAAATTACTTCCAATCGCTGGCTGAAATTCAGTGGAATGGCCATTTAAATAAACGCAAATATTTCAAGTGTTAACGTTCGAAAGCCTCCTCACCGAACTGTGCTGAATGTTGCTTTTCTCTTTCTAACTTAATCGAAAATACATTAAGAAATGCGTTGAAAAATTTTAGGGAGAATATTAATATGATAACATTGCCTTTTTATTGTAAAATTAGTCTCTAGTCAATGAAACAAAAACATTGCACTGGTAACATTTTAACAGCAAATTAGCATGCCTGTACGGATCTCACTGCACCCAGGAAAGAAACAATATTCCCAAACGTAAATAGTACTGAAGCTAATATATGCGAGGTTCGCGTCTGCTGAAAAGACGCGTGCGCAGTAACACCGCGTGTGCGCCCTTTGGTTTGATCGTTTTCTGTGAAAGCGTGCCGAGCGCTCCGCAGGAAGAACGTGCTGTCGTGACTCTGTTAACTCGTTTAGCACCTTTTCAGCTCTCTAACCCTAGTGTTACTCTGTCTAGATCCCTGCGAGGTGTAAAGAATAACTATGGCGAGGCTGGTAGCGATGATGGGGGCTTTACTCGTGATAACCGTTGGTCGATCAGGTAAGTGTGTGATAACACATTGTAAATAAGTGTGGCGAATGTGGATTCTTCTCAACTCTCCTGGATGCTCGCGTTGTTTTGATTGCCTGATCCTGCTTAAGACTGGTGTCAAATTTCCAAAACATTTGTGCTCGGTTTAGATCTAGCAGATAACGCAAGCGCAGCGATTTTCGTGATCTTTGCCACACCTTTGTAAGGTTCAAATGTTTTCAATACCGTTTACCTGCAACGTTGAGCATTCATATTTCAGCTTTGTTTTTGCGCTCTATTTATAAACGATGACCGACATAAACAACCCCAAATGTTCTCCACCATAGCCTAAAATTTGAGAGCACAAAATTTCGCCAGACGATTAAGACGCGCTTATCGCGAAACTGAGTATTAACGGGAGCTAACGGGCGCCTTTCCAAAGTTGTCCTTCGCGCCTAAACGAACGTTCAACTTCAGCGTGATCGTAAACATCAATATACCCTCCAGGCTCTGTATTGTAAGGGAATGTACATTCTGTTCAGTGGTGCGCAGCATAAAACCCTCGTAGGGTGTAGACTTTGCCTTCCTTCCTACTGCGTTTTTAAAACTGTTGAGTCATTCATAGTAAAACAAATTTTGATCAATTCAGAACCTGGGTGAATACCTTACCACACGCGGTCTTGTTCCAAAATCCTTTCTTTGTCTAGTTTAATTTTGGAGAGCGTGGTGGATAAGGATACACGTTTTTGTCGCGTTAAAATCGGCGAGTCAATACACAATAACAATCATAAAGTGAACAAGAACTTTCTTCTTGAATCTCACTTGCGATCAATTCTACGGCCGATACTATTGTGAAATTCCACTGTTTACTAAATAGTGCGAGAGACAAGAAGACCTTGTTCAGGGTAGCGATTTTGTTCATTTGTATAGGACCAGAGAGCTTGCGATACACTTTTTTTTATTATTACTCATAAAACAGGAGTTGGTTCAACACATGAAATAAAAGATACACTCAAGAATAAAGTCTATCATGATCTCATAACTTAAGCAGCTAGCATTGAGCGTAGTAGACAATACTTTAGTCACGTATTTCGTAATATTCCTTTCGCTTCATCGAACGCAGCGCTGTAAAGAATATTGACACTGAAGAGAAAAAATGGAAATTCACTCGTTCCTTTACAATATTTACCATATGGTTACAACATGCAAAGTGCAATGATAGAACTGTCATCTCTTTAAGTACAAGGATTAACTTTCCAAAGACGGGCGCTTTGATTACTTTCGAAAACAGCGATTTCCATTGAAGCTTATCTCGATGGAAGCAACTGAAGCATGCCATGGTTGTTTTTCACTTTCTAACTAGAAACACGCGTGACACGAGCGAAATATTTGTTTCAGCTGCACGTAGGAAAAATGACTCAACCCCATTGTGTTTTTTTGAGGAATGAAATATCTATTAAGTGGGTGTACCTGCAGCCTGGAATTGACAAAATTTACTAAATTCATCAACAAAACTTATGAAGAAAAAAAGAATACAAATAAGACTAGAAAAGTCATTTTTCACTACAAATTACTATGCCTTCTGAGTCCTGAAGCACATAAAACTAAAATCTGTTGTTTCATATATCTGCTATTTGGCTGACGTGACGAAGGGACTCCAGCTTTGCGTAACAAAAAAAGTATGTATATTAGTCGTCAATTTTTGAATTCCTTCGATATTTCTGTCTTCACTAATCTTGCATGAAGGAATAAATTCTATTTAATTCTAAGTGTATTTTGCTACTTTTTCTAACCATTAACATGCCCAAAGCTTTATTTACAAAAAGCCACACGAATTGCAATTGTCCGCTGAAGTCGTTTTGCGATATTGCAGCGAATATTTTGCGTAAAAAGCTGTCAAATTTGTCACTGGGGTAGTATGAAAACTGCATTAAAAAACAATGATTACAAATGTTGCTCAGCCACACGACATTTGTGAAACGCGGAAAACAAGTGAAATATTTAGCGCGTTCATGTTGTTAGATCACCGAAAACAAATTATAACGCGCGCTGTTTAGCAACATTTTTAGAAAGTTCAGAGATTTTCGAATTTTAAATTTGTTGAAGGTCTGAATAGCACCGATTCTAAACAGATTTTCGGGACAAAATGAATTTTCTTTTAATGCGTGACCTGCTAGGTAAAATAAAGAAATGGAGATGATAATATTTTTGTTTTAATAGACTGCAGGTCATGTTTTGGGAATGCAAATTTTAATTATTGAAAACAACAGACGCTGGGATAAAAACAATGTTTAGTTGAAAAGAAAGAGGAAGAAAAAGAATTAGTATCTTTTCGAGCACCAATACTATGAGCATATTATAAAAGTTGTAGCCTCCAAGTTATGGAATGAGATATCTTGGCATCGTACGAGAATTATCAGAAAATAAATTTTGTCATAATATGTAGTTTTGTCTGAAAGACAGGATGTTGAAACCACACTTTAGCCATAAGAGGGGGAGGGTGGACTGGGGATTTTCCCCGGCTGGCTACTTTCATCCAGGACTTTCATAAAAAGAAAAATGTAGAACGAAAAGAAATCCTAGGTGTTTGATTCCATGCATAGTTAATGTAATTACCCAGCAACCTGAAATCTTATTGACAAATTACACAAAGGTAAGGATAATACAGTCCCACACACAAACACTGAAAGTACAGGGTAGAAGGTTTTAATTCCCACCATACCCTGACCACAAACTAGAGTATCCTGCTAGGGTGCAAAAAAAATCATTTTTACAGCTTGCCATTCGGGCAGCTGAAGCTAACAATTTACTAGCCCAGACGTCATTTCAACTAGCCCCAAAAGCTGTTTGAAGAGCAGAATTGATCTCACGGTTCGTCTGTTATTCGAATTCCTCAAAAAAGATCACTTGCCCATTGGGCAAGTTAAAAACAGAATTCACCAGCCCGATAGAAAAATCCACTAGCCCCAGGCTATAGGACACCACTTTCTTTGCAGGCTGGCTGCCTGCCTTCACCTCAAACTAGAGTGATAATGAGACTAAAGGCTCCGAGAAAAGTCATGTGTTTGCAAAATACTTGTCTGTGCATCAGTTGAATTCCAAAAATAATGATTCAGTTTTGTCATTTAAGACTACATTTAGACATTGAAACTGTTCCTGTAGTCAGTTGTCATGGATGATGGTCGAGGATCGACATGGATTAAAACTTGAAAAAAAAAAAGGGTCAATTTCAGAGATGCCAACCTCTGGAGATCTAAAATCTGGTGACTCTCTCTTTTTCACTACCCTCCCCCCCTGAAATTCAATGAACCCCCACTCCCCAACCCCGACAAATATGGCAATGACATAGGACATTATATGAAGTCTTACTTGAAAATTTGCGATCATCGTTTTGATGCCAGATATCCTTTTTCAGTGACTAAATAGGTGCAAGAATGCCCCAGAAACCATACTACGAATACGAAAATTTCAAGTTTTGAGCTAAAAATGGGCTGAATTGCAAACTAGAGCACAGAAAAGCTCAAAAGATGATTTTATTTGAGAGATATGGTGACCCGTACAGGAGACCGGGAAATTGGTGTCATATCTGGGAAATTCCTGGATAATCCGGGAGAGTTGGCATGTATGCAATTTTTCAAGTTTTTATGCTATGTCTGCAAAAGTCACCATGTCATTATGGTTAGTGTTCCCTGATGAAATTTCATAACTCTTCAAGAGCATTTTGTGCGTTGGTAAAGGCAACGCAACGTAATGACTTCACCTCTCTTTTAAGTACTATAACTAGGGTATCTTAAAGATAGTAATGCTGCGGCACATTCTGTTGATACTGACATTTAGTTAGGCAGTGAGACTTAAAAGAATAGAAAACATGTTGGAAAGCAATAATATTTACTATCAGTCTATAGAAAGAACTCTTAGGAACGTTGTTTAGAAAATGGTCAAGTGGTTATCAACTCTGGGGTAGGAAATGATAGAAATTCAGATTGTTTATCCATATATTTAATATACAGTGTACTATCTTTTCTCTGGAAACACGATACTTTTCTTGCTGTTAATTGTACTTAATTAAATAACAGTTATTTAGGTATATATTTAAAAGAAAACAACAAAAGAAAGAAGGAAACAATGAGTTGAGTAAGACTTGAACCCGGCACCTTCGGCTTGACACGACTACACCTAACCACTAGTACACCACAGAGGCTGATTATGTAACCTTGGGGAAAACTCTTAATTTAATGCCTTTTCCATGAAAATTCTGCCAGAAAGATGATCGCCAGCCGCATTAACCGAGCTATTAGCAGAAAAAAGAACAAAGTAAACAGATATTCCATGGCAATGAATGAATGAAAGAACATAAATTATTAAGCTTTTCAAAACGCCGATACACATCTTCATCTGCAAAGTAGCTAAGGACGCAAAACATCTGTTTTGTTATCTCGATTTCCGCTGTTATTTTGAAGCTAATGGTCAAAATCACATCCATTTTAGGCTCATACAGGTTCTTAAGAATAGCAATATAGCATGACATTTTCTCACTTTCACGTCACCTTCTAGCAAGCTGGAATTTGTATATCCTCCGTGTTGCGGAGTCAAAGAGCAAATGCATGCTCATCTTCTCGTCAAGTTTAACGCCTGGATGAGTCAAAGGCTCGTTAATTGTGATCCAATCCCCAAGTTAACCATTGTACTCATCTGAAGGACTCCTGCATTTTTTAAATTTGGTAAGACCCCTAACCATGCTGTAGAAAATTTGCCACAAAGAAAACAGCGAACAATGCACGCGCTGACTCACCCACCGAACTTCCTCATGTTTTTATTTGAGTTGTTCGTGGCGCAATGCATTCTGGTAAAAGGGAGCGCAGTGCACTCTGGTTAAATGCAATGTACTATTCTGGTAAAAAGTGATAAATTCGAGAATTCGTCCCACCTTATATATTTCCCTTAAATTCTGATTATGTTGCTGCTCGCTTCCTACGGTCGCTCCGCAGCAATGATGATGATGATGATAATCTCAAATACTGAGGGGATTCTATATACTACTTATTAACTGAGAGTGAGGTCATGACAGGGAAATCTCAGACCGAAGTGTTGAGGTGTTGATGTATTGACTGTGCCATAGCGAGGTCAATCAAGGCCGAGTCGGAGATTTCCCTGTAATGACTGAATGGATGAGGTTAATAATTTATTTATCACATGGCCTTTTCTTTGACAAATGTGAGAAATTATGGATCTGAGCCTGTGATCAATTAAAACCAACAACTGGTCAGTGGATAACTTTAAAGAATTGTCGCCTCATTGAGTTGTACATTTGAGCCAGTCTGCACAGTCGTGTGACACTGGTCAGCGGATATCCTTTTCGTTATCTGTCAATTGCCCATAACGTGGATGTCCACCGTCAAGTTAAAGACAGATGGTACACTGTTTTTGCCTTGGACAAGTAGGCAGTAAAGCCTGGTCATTATAACAAAGTCTTGCCTGTTTAGCAGCCAATCAGAGTGCGTGTACTATTGTAGCCATTTAATAAAGTATCTTCTTTCTTCATACCTTGTAGATGGAACAGTTACATTACCATCTACAGAAACAACAGCAGGGACAGGAAGGGATCCAAAAGCGGCTTGCACTGTTACAGACGAAACCTTTGATTCTTGGATAACGCCCTCAGGTCAGAGAATCACAACCTCAACCACGGGGAGAATGACAGTTACAGTGACTGGAGATACTTATACACTGAAAATAGATTCTGTAACAGCTCAAGATGGAGGCGTATACCGATGTCAAGGCTCGTTAAATTCACGATCTTTTACCCTAAATGTTAATTGTAAGTATCTGACGAATTAGACTTCGGGGCAATGCACCCAATGGTGGTTTCCTCCTAAATGCATTGAAATGTCTATTTAGGCTATCTAGAGTATTTTTAGAGCTTTAGAAATGCATTCTAAGTGGTGCTATAAAATTTTTAATCTGCTCGGTCATCTTAGGGAAACTTGAGGTTTTTCTAAATTACAAGGGCTTCAGTGTTATTTTCCCCAAAATTTTAAGATGCAATTGAACATTTGCGAAAGAGAGAAGTTTTCTGATTTATCTCTCCATCAGGGTTGTTGGAAAGTTTTGAAGTAGATGACTGAGTTGTCAAAGTAAGCAGCCAGCCCAGGCAGGGACGGATCTAGGGGAAGGGTGCAGGGGGTGCGCACCCCCCCCTGAGATGACCTGCGGTTTTCTAATACAACTGGTGTTCTGTCAAAAAAAAAAAACTATGCGGTTTATTGGTGTTGAAGTAGAGCAAGGGATGAGTGCACCCCCTCCTAAAAAAAATCCTGGAGCCGCCCCTGCCAGGGATATTTTCTTTAAAAAACGCCATCCGTAAAGAAGTGCCAAGCAGAGTAGCCAGCCGATACTAACCAAATAGGCGGCAATTTTCGCTGGCAGGCCGGCTACTTTTGACAACCCTGCTCCATTACATTTTTTAGTCCAAAAATTTTAGGTTTCCTTTTCCTACGAAAATTACCCTAACATAAGGAGTAAAATATTAAAAATTGAACTTCAGAAAATCTTAGGGAATTTTGTAGATAAGCTTCAAAAATTGTACCTGAATGGAAAGCTCATCCAGAAATTTTTAGCCCTATGAGGCAATAGAAAATTCTAGGCAATGTTTGCCTCTCCTAACAGATATTCTACAGAAAAAAGTCATTGGGTGCCCCTGTAGACTCACCGAAAGGCAAGTTTAACTGGGCTGCCATTTTTCCTGAGGGGAGGCACAGGCTACAATAAAACCTTGTCACTGACCATTGCATAACATAGAATCCAGGGAAATCTGTGACCGTGAATTTATGAAAGCAATTCTGTAGACAACCATATCGAGAGTGATTATTAATAATGATTGATTATTAATAATGATTGATGATTGATTATTAATAATGATTATTGTAAATCCCTGACAACCTACGACTATACAAAATTATTGTACTGCATGAAAACGATAAGTTAATTAGAACAGACAGCAAACAGCTTTTAAGAGAAAACAACCCACTATAAAACCCATCAGGATACATGCAGTAGAGATATTAATCCATAGACGGTAATCTATTGTTTATGGTCGACACGGAAACACATTTTGCCAGAAGATAAAACTATTTTTATGTTTCAAGATTCTTTCCTTTTAATTTGTTATCTTTCTTCAACCTATTAAAAAGGAATTAGTTCATTTGCAATTTGTGACCTTGAAAAGTTGAAAGATTCCTCACAGTTTATTCCATCAGTCCGGTATGTAAAAAAATGTGAATAGACCAAGGGTCATAATATGAGTCTGTGTCAAAGTGCTGATGACAAGAACTTAAATTGATTTTTGTTCAAGCAATTTATCTCAAAGCTCAAAATTGACAAGGTTTAGGTGCAGAACAATTTCTAAGATGAGTCTTCTTTATCCTAACATGAAATTTAGACCTCCAAAAAAGAGTGTGTTGCATTAACCCATTCGCTCCTGGAGATTTTGCCAAAAAACGCGTTTTGAAGCTAGTCGAGTGGTTTTCTGGTCACTGTCGCGCTATAAAGAGCTAAAACTTACCACAAACTGGTTTACAGGTCGAACACTTCGCGGCCTTCTGATCCAGATGCAAAGTATCAGCTTGCGAAGTTCGGGCATGCGCAGAAAGCAAAATTTCGAGATAGTTTTTGGGTTTAAAAGTGACACAGCAGTCTTGACTTTTACTTTTCGCTTTCTCTCCTCCCTTCTTTTTTCGCTTTTCTTGCCTCATTTTTTTTTTCTCTTGCTGGGCATTTAGTAGGCTTCATTTTGGTGGGAAGAGTTTTTGGGAAAGCTTTTAGGATCTTAGGATTAGGTGAAAGGAAAGGTAGGTGGGTAATGGAACAAGATTTTCATGGAGATTTTCAGATCAATGTCACGAGGTTTAATGCTTGTTTCTCCGGTGTCCTTGACTGAATTGTGCTCATTCTGGTATGGTTTGAAAGATCTCTTCACTCTGCACAAGTTAGCGAAGAAAGTTGTCCTTGACCGTTAAAACTGATGAGGTTACAATGGGTAGAAAGGACCTGGATCTGCACAGGCGGTTCAGGGGCGAATGGGTTAAACAGAAAGAAATCAATCTTTAAACAAACTCTGTGAGGATGGACAAACGTGCTTGATGGATCACACAATGCTCTGGGTTACTATTAGGAGTGTGTTCATTTTTTGACGAAGAAAATCCCCAGGGGTACTCTGGATTTCAAGTGATGGGAATGATCGAATGGAGACATTAAAAATCAAAACCCAAAAAAATCCTGCATGAGCCTTAAAAATTTCCAGAAAGCATTAAATGGTATAACACAAAAAATAAGTTCAATTCCCTCCCCAGGGAGGGATGGGGGAGAGAGAAAATCTACCGATTTTATAAAATGGGCCTGCCGTGAGGCGGTCCGGTTAATTAGGCAAATTTTCTGGTGGTAATTCTGCCTTTCACTGTAAAGGCTGGCTATCTGCCGCAGTTAGGGGTAGTAACACACTTCTGTTCAGGGCAGTATAAGTAAATCTCTTGATCAGTGACACATTAGCAAATGTTTTTGTCCTTGATAAACCTTGTTTATGGGGTGTAGCATGTAATTGTGGTTGCCATTGGCAACAATAGTTTCATAAGCATTGCTTAAAATTTTCTTTTTAAAGGTGATTTTTACAGATTTAGTTGGGGGGTGCCCTGCATCTGGATCTTCAGCTTCCATTCACACCTTACCTTTTGGTTTCTATCAGATAGATTTACATGGTTTGCACATGCCTTGAAAAGTCCTTGAAAAAACGTCATGTCCTTGAAAAGTCCTTGAAAATTGAACAATTGTGGGATATCCTTGAAAAGTCCTTGAATTTTCCACAGAGGTCCTTGAATATTTTTGAAAGCTCCTTGAATAAAAAATAACCTTTGTTAAAAATAAAATGTTTTGCATAAAGGAATGATTGAAAGCACAGCAATACACAAATTTTCTTGGTGATCCTGAAACTATTTTCTTATGATTTCGGTGTTCCTCCCTAGGAACCGTGCCTTAATGAAGGAAGGTATTGCAATAAGCGAACCCCTCTCTATCTACACATTTTAAAGGTCTTAACTTCATGTTATTGGGGAAAAGAAGTCCTTGAAAAAATAATTTTTGTCCTTGAAATGTCCTTGATTTTCTCCCAAAAATTCTGTATGAACCAGGCTTACCTTTTGGTTTCTATGAGATAGATTTAGACCAATAAAGCTGAAAACATAAAAAAATAAAACATAAAGACAAATAAAAATGAATTATATAAAATTCATAAAATAAGTTTCAATACAAATACATCTCGAGTGAAAATCACTAATATAAGCAATAAGGCCATCCTCCCTCCTCCATTTTCCCTTTGTTAATGTTTGAAAAAACAGTATTGTGCCCCATTTTAGTACATTAAGCCCCCTCTCAAATAAGACCCCTTCATAAGTGTGCTTAAAATAAAATAAAATGGGCCCGCCGTGAGGCGGTCCGGTTAATTAGGCAAATTTTCTGGTGGTAATTGTGCCTTTCACTGTATAGAGGATTTACGGTATTACTGGTACTTAACATGATTATTTAGATATAAATTCTGTGCAAATGATCTTCTAAAGAAGTTTCACTAATGAATGCTTCCCACAAGACTTCTGCCTACAGATTTAATAATAATAATATAATATTTAATAGTAATAATAATAATAATAATATTTACGTGTCAGGAAATTTAGCTTACAAGCTAATTGGGGACACACAAAAAAACAATACAGAAATAAAATGCTAAAGATTATAAATATATAGGTTTAATTTAGATCTATAAAATGTATGATAAGAATGTACTGCTATTTATAAGAGTACAAGCTCTAAAAAGTAAATGAAGAGTGGCATAAATAGCAATTCTGACAGCTATTATCAACTAGTTCTGCTATGTTTGTTTTTCTGTTTCTAGATCTAAACATTGTTACAGATGAGATATTTCTAATTTCTTTCAGAAGTTTAGACCATAGGTATGGTCCGAAATATCTGATCTTGGGAAAATGTTTAACGTATCTAAAAGTGTTGAAATTCAGGATATTGTTCTCAGTTCTTAAATTGTACTTGAAGGACTTAGTTACAAATATATAATGTCTCTCAAATATGTAGGTAAAAGACCCATATGATATTTGAACACAGTTTTTGAAATATCTTGCAGTCGCCTGTTATGAAGTGTGCTGAGATTAGATTTCTTTAACAGTTCATCATAAGTAATTAACTATAGAGTGAGAACTGATCTTTTGCCATGTCGTGTTCTACATGTAGGATTGAGAAGGTCTTAAATATATATCTAGGACCTTATGAAACTACAGTGGCGACAGCAATGAGAATGTCTAAAACACAATAGTTATTTATTAGCAAAACAATCACTCTGCACATACAACATGAAATGACCAAATTTTGAGTTGTCTTGAGAACAAGAATGGCAAGGTGATAAATTTTACTATCTCTCACTGAACTCAGACGCGGTTCCCTCTCTTCAGTATCATCCTAACTACCCTACCTTCAAGTAACTGGGTGACTTGGTATAAGGGCGGAAAAGTTTCATAGGATGCAAAGTCTATTTTTTTTGGTTCTATTTTTTCTATTTTCTAAAAGAAGCCGGGGCCACTTGTTGGATTGTTCATAGGATGCAAAGTCTATTTTTCAGCAATGTTTTCCCTATTATTTGTTATGTCCCTAGAAACTTGAAGGCCTGCAGTGTTGACAATATTATTTTTGTCTTTTTGGAAAAGATGATGTACAGGATGCAGTCAACTTAAAGCAAACCCTACAGATGGACCAAAAAGGAACTCTGGTACTTGATGTGTCAGGATATCCACAACTTACATACGACTGGACTAAGGATGGACAGAAAGTAACATTTGGTGGACGAATAACTCTCAATCCACAGACTGGATCAATCACCTTCAGCCCTGTACGAATGATTGATGAAGGCAATTACACTTGCCAAGTAATCTCTGCCGAACTTGGTGACCACACCTTCGACCCTATATCTGCTAGAGTCATAGGTAAGGTCCGGTCACTGTAAGGCTTTTATTTTTTTAAATTTCCACAATTCATGATACAGTGGAAACTCTCGTAAGTAGACAGCCTCAGTTAGAGCTGGTTGCTTAGTAATATGGCCACTATATAAAGAGATGTAAGGGTTATATGGCCACTTACAAAAGGTATTAGAAATTATGCAAAAACTGTTTCTTAGGGTCTGGCTATACTAGCTGTTGTTTTGATGATGTTAAAATGAAAGTCTTGTCACAGACCTAAAATTCAAGTGGTCTTTCGAAGTGTAACCTGATGTGTATGTGAACTAAAACAAACACTGGAACCAATATAAAATCACTGTGAAGAACAGTCATTACGTTGATTTATTAAAATACAAGTTTCAGATGAGAATGAGATTTCGTTCTGGTGTCTGCATACAGGAGCTTAAAAACAAAGCCAAAATCAAACTTAGCTAGTAAATCCTGGAAATGTCAGCGTCTGCTTATAGGAATGTAAAAAATTATACAAAGTTTTTATGGGAATTGCAACACGGTTTTGTGAATTTGTGAAGGTGGCCATAAGTACAGATGTCTGCTTACGCGAGTCTATGTTGCGAGAGCTTCCACTCTACATAACAGTCAAGAAATTAAAATAATATCATCAGCCCAATCAAAATGTTTTCCAATATTGTTGGCAGGATGACCACTGCAGAGGCAGCTGAGGCCTGTAAAAAATTGTAAATATTATTTGCATTTTTGTAATTTGTTTACCCACAAGGCACTTACATACAAGTTCTTATAAGAATGTAAAAACATTTTTGTGAATGAATGATGTTTTATTTCTGTTTCTTTATTTCAAATACCTTTTTGTTCTGTACCCCAGATGCAATTGCGAGTCATACCCAGTCATTTTGCAAAGTGTCGTTTTGGAAAGTAGCATAAAATAATGTAATCAACCATGGCTGAAGAAGTAAAAATCGTAAATGACTCCATTGAGAGTTTTAGCAAGTAAAGTGCTTAAAAGGAGGTTGAAAACCTCCAATTTATGGAATAAATCTTTAGTTCTTGAAAACTGTAATTTGTCCTTAAAAAATCCTTGAAAAGTCCTTGAAATTTGTTTAGGGTTGTCATTAAGAGGCGGGGGCCGGGGATTTTCCCCGGCTACTAAGAGAGTGGCCCCCGGCTACTTTTATTGGAAAATAGAAGCAAAAATAGAACCAAAAGAAATCCCTAGCCGTTTGATTCCCCGCCTACTTGTTGTATTTACCCGGCGACTTGAAATCTTATTGACAACCCTGTTTGTTTGTCTGAATCACAGTTGTATGAGCCATGTTTGACCGTGGCCATATTTGTAGGAGGCAAGTACTCTCAATGGTCATTGTACCACCCTTGCTGAGCCTCAACTAAACTTGTGTGGTTTTTATTTATTTATTTGTCTATCATGAATAGACCTTTTTACCGATGCGGTGGCCATATTGAATTAATTAGATTTAAGGAGTATTATATATGCCCAAGGGGCATGAGCACAATCCGATAATCTTGCTCCTTAGTATTTACGTGCGCTTGTAGGGCCAATTTTTCATTAAGTTTTCTAAGAAAAAGATTGTTGTGCCGTGTTTGGATGTAATAATGATTGCCTTTTTCCCGAGAAATATACAGTGAAGTTCTCTTTTTGTCCAAAAAGCACGTGCAGATACTTCAAGCGAGTGCCTTCCTGGGCATCCCATAATACCCCTTAAATCTAATAAATTGAATATGGCCGCCATGTTGGTAAAAAGGTCTATTGAACACCTTCAGCGCTTAAAAAGATAATTAAAAGAGCTTGAAAAGCTAGTCTGATTAAAAAGCACTTTTTTTATGTATGTAACAGACAGCCCACAAATCAACAAGTATGAAGGAGACCCAGTAAATCGCAGACTCACAGAAGGTTACAACAACACATTTCACTGTGATATTAAGAAAGGAACGCCCAAGCTGTTAGTCACTTGGTACTTTGGATGGGATGATACATCAAAGAAGGTTGACACTCAATACGATAGCCGTTACTCCCATCCAACAGAAGAAGAGTGGACCATTACTGGTGTGACCTCGGCAGATCAAGGGAAATACAGGTGCATAGCAACTAATGACGCTGGCGAGGATTCGCTGAGGTTTGAAATCACCCAAGTCGATGGTGAGTTTTTGCTCTGTTACAGTGTTCTCCCTAAATTTTAGCTCAGCAGGTAAGGAACCGTTCATGGCCAGTAAGGCAAAAAATAGGCGCCCCTGCTGGGTGGAGGGGGTAGTGGAATGAGGGACAATGCCTGGAAATTTAAGAGCTAGGTCTTCTGAAACGTCATTTCCTCATTTTAAGACCTATTCTGCACAAATCGGCCGTCGTTATCTGTAGACAACAATTTAAAATGTTCAACTCCAATAATTTTACTCTGTCTTCAACGTTCTCTGTCCAACATGCGTGGCCCATTTCTTGTGAGAATCAGATTGGATCACAGCTTGCGTATTTTTTAAAACAAATTATTTTATGTTAGTAAACCTTCAAGCAATTGGAGGCGGAAACAAGTGTTGCTCCAGGCGGTAAATTTTACCGGTTACCGTCTGATAAGGAGAACACTGCTGTTAGCGCTTGAAGAGAACTAAAGAAAGGACTTCTGATAACATGCAATGGAGCAATTGGCCTCAAATAGCATCTGATTACACCATTTGAGGAAAATCACATTATTCTTAAAAAATCTTTCCAAACTGAAGTCCATTTCAATCCTGGTTATCAAAAGCCAAGTCAGTAGTTGAGTCACAGTTAAAGATGCTAAGAGTAAATTTCAAACCAACTGAACTCTTAAAGTTTTAATAATTTGGGTGCATGGATTCCAATTTAAGGGCTTTAACACAATAACAAAATTGAATTATACAACACCAAGGAATGCATGTACAGTCCCCTGCAGCTAACAATTGCCAACAATTGGCAAAACTATTGGTAACAGCACAAAGTAACATAAACTAAATCACAGCGTGCAATAACTGATGATATGTACCGCGTCCAGACAATCTGTGAGCCAGCAAGCCATGCAAGCCATGGGAAAAAATAGAGTTTTATGAAGTTGTAAAATAATGCATGAAAAATGTTTTCTGCTTAGTTCCGAGGTTTTGCTGATTGACTATTTGCAGAATTATGCAGTATTGATCGACTTTCACTAATTAGGGTTAAGCGCTCATTTTACTTACTAGGGTTAAGCGCTCCCTTTACGGATTGAGGTTAAGCGCTGTTTAGGGTTAAAAACTTTTTTTTTGATTAGGATTAAGTGCTTTTTCGTGTTTTAAAACACTTATTTACAACGGTTAGCTTTCGGTTATTTCTTCTCGTATAGGCAAGTCTTTGCTGACGCCATTGTTTACATTTTTCCTCATTAGCATACAACTTAACTCATAAAAGCTGTGGCCGTATATATGAACTAAATGCAAAAGTTGAAAGTTGAGAAATTTGTGCAATTTTCAGCTCTTTGCAAGCAATATTGAAGGAAATATCAGTCATCAAAAACTGCGAAATTGCTGTGTGGAAAAAAGTTAATGAGCCATACTTTCTTTGTAAAATTCTGAGTTTTTAGAAGAGAATTTCTCCGAAACCATCCAGTGTATTGGGCTCAAATTTTCAGAGATAACTGAAACTGTTATGCCCTTTCAATATTCCGAGTTTTTATTTTATTAGCATCATCAGATAGTGATAAGCATATGTTAATGAGGCAAAAAGTGTAAACAAAGATTTGCCTATTACTGCTTTTTCTATTTTTCTTTCGCATGGCTTGCTGGCTCGCACTGTGCCTTAACTAATATGTACCTGCTTTTTCAGTTTCGCCTTTGATTGATCCTGTGCTGACAGATGTTACGGTGGACGAAGGGGTTAATCAAGATTTGGTTTGTAAAGTGTCTGGCTCACCACAACCAATGGTAGAATGGCAGAAAGAGGGTGTTCGATATCGTCCCCAAACGGTAAACTGCAATTTTACATACAAAAATTATCATACTGTAAAATTCCGAAAATAAACCCCTCCAAATATAAGCCCCCCAAACTGGTAACACAAAAAATCCTCTGTTAAATCGCCCCTCCAAATATAAGCCCCCGGGGGCTTGTAATTGGAAAATTGCCCTCAAATATATATAAAGTAAAACAAAGCAAAAACGGGAAATTTACTTCCAACTATAAGGCTAGCCCAATCATTGTTTAAAATGCAAATTTCCCTCTGTAGATAAGCCCCTGCGAATATAAGCCCCTCAAAAGGGGCCTTTGAAAAATATAAGTCCAGGGGCTTATTTTTGGAATTTTATGGTATGTTGAAGTTGTAGAAAGGAGAAATACTCAGCTTGATCAACCTAAAAATGGCAAGTCTTATAATTACACAACATTGACTGTCTCAATGAATTTTCTGCAATTAGAATTATTATTAGAGTGTTGAAATCTTGAATGATAGCATGAGGAAGCTGAGGTATGCCCCCTGAGTTCACACTGACTTTTCTTTCCCCCCGTTATTTTACTTTTAATCATGTATTAATATAAGGTGCTTTAATTGGCTGTAATTGCTCAGATTTTCTGGCAGGCACCGGAAATTATTGGTGTGCAGGTGCATGTGGGCTGCCTGCAATCAAATTTTTTGATCTGTGGCTGACAGCGAGTCTCTTGCCCATAGTGTGAAAGTTGTGGATCATGATACGTTTCTGGGAAACTGCCCACCTACCCCTCCCCTAAGCTAACACTAACACTTAGTTCTCACTTAGGGCAAAATGTTGGCTTAGGGGAGGGGTAGGTGGGCCCAAAGTTGGAAGGTATATCTCCTACGCTGAAACAGCAACTTAGGGGCTGTTTACATGGAGGAAGGAAAATCCTAGAAGGTGGATCATATATGTGCCATATGTTTTCTGTATAATCGATTTACATACAAGGCGTCACACTTGTCCCTAGTGCTGATTAAGATCCTAGTACTAGAAAGACAGGTGGTAACTGGTATAATATCATAGGTGACGAATTACTCCTTAATTTTGGCGCGAGATTTCAGCGTTAATTTGTAATTTCACATGTGAAATTACTAAATTGCCATGGCAACCTGCCATACGTCTCCCTTTCAAGATGGCAACGAAGTTTTAAAATGTCATGAATGAAGATGTCAGGGCATAAAAAGACGCCTTAGAAAACCTGAACACACGAAAGAGCACATCAAGAAGGATTCTTAGAGGTATGTTGTCGAAAAATTCTGAGAACTTAAGCCAAATTTTAGCTCTAAACGTTTGAGAGTGGAGTTCACGATCGATCGATATGATCCAGGATAAACAAGTCAAAAATCCTCGATTGCTAACGTAATTCGTCACCCATGATATTAATAGGTAATCAAATGGTATACTTGTGAAATTAGGGAATAATTTCACGCGTGTTTTGTCCAAATCCTTATAATTTCCCGAGCCTAAAGGCTCGGGAAATTATTAGGATTTGGACAAAATGCAAGTGAAATTATTCCCTAATTTCACTCGTCACCATTTGGTTACACATACAAATTTACCCCTTGAAACAATACTTCTTTTCTGCTTGCAACTGCTTCATGTGTTGCTAAAAATTAATGAAATAAGTTGTTTAAAAAAATATGCAAGTTGTGATCCAAGCCGATCCTCACAAGAAAAGGAAGTAAATATGGAAAAACAAAAAGTATACACAGCTATTCTCTCTGATTGCTTTTTCTAAATACCGACTCAGGTACGTTTCGAAGCACTGCAGGCTAACAATTTTTTCGTGGGCTTCTGTCCTAATTCTAGACTTTCTCGACAAGCAGGAGAAGTTCTCGACTTCCGTGACTTGTGTTACTAAAATAATTGACCCTGGCAGCAAAGGCAGCTTTCATTCATAAAATTGTTTGTTTGGAGGTGAAGAGACAAAGAAAGGAAAATGCGTGGTCCCTTACCTGCTGAGTGAAAATTTATTGAGAACATTGGGAAGATCCTAGCCACACGTAAACTGCCTTTGCTAGAAAGATCTTTTAAGGATAAGGAAAACCAGGTAAAAATGGTGGCGAGTCATTCAGTGGGTAACCATGGCAATAAGGTCTAACGGTTTCATTTGACATTACCACAAGCAGGTTATTGTGATAATTCTTCTAAAACGTAGTTATCAACGCCAGTAAAGAGAGCAGAAGGGCCCAAATTGCATTTTTGTTTTTGTTGAAAGCCACCTTTACTTGCTTCTCTACATGTAAACCCTATGAAAACTTTGTTCCAGCTTCTTCAATGTACGTAGGATCTTCCTCCCTCCATGTAAACAGCCCCCTTTACTGCTTAACCCTTTAAACCCTAAGATCAAAATTTGAATTCTCATTTGTTGCCCCCATTCATTTCCTACAGAAGTAGTGAGGAGAAGTTGATAGAATATCAAGCACATTCATCTTGTGTGATCATGTCCATAATTCTCATGACCACTCTGTTTCACAATGCATTGATATTACATTGAGAAATTCGATGCTGATCACTCTTGGCTTAAAGGGTTAAGAAACTAACCACCTATTTTTTGGTGTAGAGGACAACTGAAGGAAACAAGGTTGTCCAGACAATATCTTTTGCAAGCATCCAAAGGGGGAATGGTGGAAGATACACCTGTAAGGCAAACAACGGCGCATTGGATTCCAACGGAAAGGAAATTATAGTGACCCAAACAATCAACCTCAACGTTAATTGTAAGTTTGTTACTCATGCGTTGTACATGTACTGATCCCTGCACTGTTATGAAGTCATTGCTGTTTTGGTTAATTCTATCCTTAAGTCATTACTGAGTGTCTCAAGCAATACACACAATACTCGAAAACAGTAGAGGTTGTGGGCACCGCTTTCATGGTGTGTGACTTGTGTTGTCGTTGGTCTGGGTGGGCTATGTGAGTCTGAGATCATACATTGAATAAAATGGCCAAGAAAGTGGGCTATACTATAATGCTAATACCTGATCCTATCCGTTTGGTTCTCTACATCTGCTGCAAGAGATGAAAATTGGCACTGTTTTCTTTAAATGGGTGGTTCATTTGGGCTCCTAAGTTTTTCCAAAAAGGCTGTGTCTAAAGCTTATATTAATCATACACTTGACACCTGCTTTGTAACGAGGCCCTGTCAGGCTAAAATTCCTATGGCGTCATGGACTTGAAACAGTGGAATAAGACTGGATGGAATGATGAGAAATGACATGGAGATGGGTTAAAACAGGGACATAGCCTACTCCTCAAAACACACAATGACTGTATTTGAAATTCAGACAAGGGACTTATGTAACCCCTCCCCCCTCCCCCCAGAGGGCCTCTGTAATGACCCTTTAATCTCCTACATATTTACAGTGTATGACACATGTCTTAATTCCAGGATCAATCCTGTGACAAACTACTTTTTTTGCATTTAGCTCCCCCAATGATTGATACACGGTCGTCACCTACTCCAGTGTACTCTTTTATTGGCTACCAGAAAGAGGTCAACGTTGCCTGCAAGTTCTCAGGGTACCCAACACCCCTGGTCAAAATGGTCAACATGAGTAGTGGACAGGAAGTCGCGCGAGGAAACAGTTCAGCTAGTTTTAAAATTACCACTGACTCAGACAACGACTTTGGCACATTTAACTGCACAGCTGAGAATTCGCTTGGAGTGAAACACTTCTTGGTAGAACTTAAGGTAGCAGGTATGTTGCATACTGGTGTATCATGCTCAAATTAACAATTTCTATTTGACGACAATTTTCCATGGTCTGTGCTCTGTACTCTTCTCAACTATAGAAGTGAACTCAAAATGTTGATAAACTCAAATGAAACCACAAGCCACAGGCAAGTGGTTTCACTGCAAAGTTTTTAACATTTTGACATCATTTCTATGGTCAACAAGAGTAACTTTTTCTAGAAAGAAGACACAAGTAGTTTAAATAATGTCATAAAACAAACAATATCATAAAAACTGGATGAAAATGTAAATTATGATGTGTTTCATGAAGGCCTACTAGTTTTATGTTATACTTTAGTCGTGTGAACCCTATATTTTAGACAATTTTTAAAAAGGTTTTTTTATCGGTTTACACAGAATTTGTTTACATGCAAAAATACGTAATTTAATTATTTTGTTGATACAGTGTTAACAGTTGGTTACTCTATTCAAACCTGCTGGCTCCTTCAGTTTTTATTGCAACCCCTGTACATGTGTGAGATTCCTGCAATGGATTTTGTTGGGAAAATTTCGGTGTTTTGGATAGGTTAGGGTTTCCATCATTTTTATTGTGATGTGTTATTATTACCTCATCGGTACCTAATTTTGTGGGTCATTAATTTCACCTTTTTCTCACACAAATCCTTGTGAAGTTTAAGCACCCTCAATTATACTACCCAAGCTCATAGAAAAACCAAATGACAATTAACATTTGATAGGAAAGACATACATTAACAAACACAAATTGCTAACAGCTGGCTTTACTGGTAAGCTCCATTGTTTTGCCTGTTAAAATCGGCAAAATAAAACCCCGCGAAATTCTATGTTGCCAAAATCGCGAATTTGAGTACCCATGAAATCAACTACCATTAAGGTATAATGCAATTATTCTAATAAGCTGATGTGATTTCAAAGGGAAAAAATATTATTTTAGGAACAAAACTGAGTCTTAACTGACTACTTGTGTGTACACAGACACTCCGAGTGGACCACGTAATCTGGCGGCATTGGAAACATGCAAAAGCATCACTCTTAAGTGGGAAGCTCCTGAAAGCAATGGTGGCTTGGAGATTTTGCGCTACAATGTAAGACTCACGAAAGACGATGCCGACGTGCGCATACAGAGTGTTGGAGCATCGCAACGGGAAGTGAAAATTGATTACCCTTTTGAGCCCGACACGGCATATAAAGTTTATCTTACAGCACAAAATGATAAAGGATATGGACAACAGGAAATGCTGGAGGTCACAACCAAAAAATTCTGTGAGTGTAATTTTCATCGCTTAGGGTGTGTTTGATTGATTGTATTTCAGAATACACAGGTTAGAATACAGAAAGTTCTTAAACAAATCTCTTCTACCATGATTAAGTACATTGGGATACTTTATTTCATGCAGATTCCTAAATACTGCAATATATTTACAATGAATATATGGCAAAAATAGATTTCTAGAAATAATTCCGTTTGTTCTTATTCTGGAATACAGTCAATCAAACATGTCCCCAATACATGTAAGAGATGCTTTAGAAAAATAACATTAGAAACCCTTTTGTCAAGCTGACCAAAGCAGGAGTAAACCCACCATGGAGGTACATGTAAAGTGGTAAAACGAATTTTTACTAGAATGTGATTTTGATAAAAATTATAAGGTTGTCACCCAATGAACCAAAAACAGTTTCTTGACTTAAAAACAAGACTGAAAACCTGGGAAATAAGTACAACGTTACAAGACAGTGTGCTATTTTTTTTGCTAGAGGTGTCATCAAATTGTAAATAAAATCCTTGTAATGCCTCCTATAACTAGATTAGCTTTTTAACTATTTTCTGGGTCGCTTCATACCTTACAAAAGAAGTACAGTCGACTTGCGATAACTCGAACCTTTAAGGGAAATCGAAAATAGTTCGAGCTAGCGGGAGTTCAAGTTATCAGGAGTTCGAAGTAACTAACCAAAACTATAAGGAAATAGGATGGGGAAAGAATTCAAGTAAGATGTACACCTCAAGTCCTTGATAAGTACTCAGTGCTGGACACTGTATTTAAACTGGACTGACCAGAAATTACAGACAATACAAGGTTGTTAAAATTCAATGTTTTGGACTGCATTTTTTGACTTGTCAGGGCAATCCAATTAGTTCGAGTTATCAAGGGTAAATTTATATAGAAATGGTCTGAAGGGAAACAAAACTTACTTCCAGTTAGCGGGAGGTTCAAGTCATCATGGGTTCAAATTACCAAGGGTAAATTTATAGTAAATGTATGTAAGAAATCCATGGGAAATCGATTTTAGTTTAGTTCGAGTTAACATGAGGTTTGAGTTAGCAAGGGTAAATTTATAGCAAATGTATGAAGGAAATCCAGGGGAAATCGATTATAGTGTAGTTCGAGTTAGCGTGAGGTTTGAGTTAGCAAGGGTTCAAGTTATCATGAGCGGACTGTACTGTGTTTTTTCCTCTCTTGACTTTTCTGTGCATGGTATAAAAATAAAGTTCTTGTCTTCAGGTTTGCCAAGTAGACCAGCAATAACCAACACAGAACTTGAAGTTGAAACAAGCTTCACGCTAACCTGGCAAGCACCCTCTGACGATGGCGGCGATAGTAACCTCAGATACAAAGTGGAATGGAGGAAAAAGCCAGTCACTGAAGACACAGTGGCAAAGGAAGAAGACAACATTGGGGATCTTAGTCTGACCATAGAAGGTCTTGAAGGTCTTGCAGAGTACGAATTTAAGGTCTTTGCCAAGAACTCGGAAGGTTATGGTGAGCCTGACACGAGGACCTTCATAGTGAAACAAGCCCCAAGTAAGTTGAATATCACCTATGATTGGTTCTGTTTTACATGTCAAATGTGGTTAGCTTAAATGCATTGTACCTAACATGTTTTTCAGTTAATCAACTAAAACTCATCAGTAGTAATAAAAATGCCGAGTCGGATCTCACGTTGACATCAGACAAACTAGATTATGCTATGCTCTAGTCCTTCTATTGAGCACTCTGCCAATAGGCATGCATACGTATCAACTGGTAAAACTCATCATGGATATGTTTAAAAAATCATCATAGTAATAATAATTATTATTATCATGACTAATATAAAAGAGATAGAGGATAAATCATTACATGGTTGTGTGGAGGAGGTAATGTCTCTTTGGGGGAGCATAGCAAACTATTGAATTTTTTTTCAAATATTTTGCATGTCCTATTTATTTATATATTTATTTATTTATTTATTTATTTATTCATACTTACATTGTAGCTTGTTTCATACCTTCTGTGCCATACAACACAAGTCATATTATTCCTATTATTTTGTTAAAAATTTCATGTCTTCTCTTATCCCCTGAAAAGGTTTGGTCAGTAGTAATAATAACTATTACTTATTATATTATGAATCCTAAATTGTCAGTAACACAAAAAGTGAAATAATCACATACTGTATAACATGATCAGTCACCCATTTTAGCAACAAAATATTGAGACAGAACATGAACCTTGCACCGGAATAATTTCAAGCATACATTTCATTCTATTGCATCCTTTTTTACACTTTTCAAGGGCTATAAATGTAGTAAGTTATATGAAATAACTCCAGAGAAAAGGTTCTCATGGGAGCCCGAGAAAACAAACTTCACAAGCTAGTAATTCACATTTCACAAAAAGAAAGTCTTACAGGTGACTATTTTACCTGTGTTTTCTCAACTCCTTTGAAATTTGAAATCTATTTTCTTGGCCTCAAATAAGAAATTGCCTTTGGTGTTTTTACAGATAACTAATTATAACTATATCCCTTGAAAAGTGTAAAAAAGAGTGCAATATGGCTTAAAATATTCTGGTGCAAGGTTTTTGCTAGCCTGTGAACTGCAGACGTATTTTTGGTCGACACTTCTCTCCCTCTGAAAAATAATAATATTTTTTGGAGGGCGATAAGCGACGACCTTAAATACGTCTGCGGTTCGCAGGCTACATTTTTGTCCACTGAAAATAAAAATTACTCAATTTCCTAGCCTAATGGATTCTGTTTTAATGTTTTACCTAACCTCTTAGCAGTTATTAAAATGTGATGAGTCATTGCGAATGATAATCTCGTACATTTAACCAGGAAGAAGAATTATAATAAATTCACCATAGTTATTGCCATAACTGAACATGAAAGAGAATAGTTAATCATCTAACATGTTATTAAAGCTAGAAGAGAATTGATTGTCTGTTGTTTTTCTTTTTAACTATAACCACAATTAAATGCATTTGGTTAGAAGTTGAATTAACAGATAATCAAAAAAATTGTAAGAACTTAAACTTTTCTGTTTGATATTGGTTTAAGCACTAAGAGATTCTAAACTATAAAATTTGTTTTGTTTCTCTGCCCCTTTTGATTCAGAAAAATACACGACTGACGATCCTGGCCCAAGTAAGTGCCCTTTATTTTTGCCCTTTATTTAGTTACCTGAAAGACCTGGAGTGGTTGTGTAATAGGAAGAAAAATTAAGACGGAATCTACTAGGAAACTGAGTAATTTTAATTTTGAGTGGACAAAAACCTGGTACCAGAATCATTTAAAGCACGTTGCATTCTTTTTTTACATTTTTCAAGGGTTAAAGATGTAATAAGTCACTTGTAATAACACCAAAGAAAATTTCTTATGGGAGCCCAAGAAAATGAATGTCAAATGTCACAAAATTACAGCTTACAAATGAGATTTTCAGAATTTTACCTACGTTTTCACAATTCTTGTTAAATTTGATATTCATTTTCTCAGACTCCCACGAGAAATTTTCTTTGGTGTTATTACAGATGACTAATTACATCTTTAGCCATTGAAAAATGCAAAAAAGAAAGCAATATTCTTTAAATTATTCTGGTACAAGGTTTTTGTCCACTCAAAATTAAAATTACTCAATTTCCTGGTGGATTCCGTCTTGCATCAATATTTGAAAGATATTGCAAAAAAAAACACACCACCTTAAAAGAACAAGTCCTCGGTCTGAAATTTGATGAATGAAACAACATACAAATAAGAACCAGTTCAGCCTGCCAAAATTGAACAGGTTCCTATGGAAAAAATGTGGGTATGAAACTTGCAAAACAGTGGCTATTATCAAAGTGTGAGTGCTAGTCCATTAAAACACAGCATATAAGTGATTGAAATTTTCAGAGGAAATTAATTAGGCTTCTCATTAATCCAGGCTATAATATTGCATAAAAGAAATAAATGTACACCCACTATTAATAATGGTCAATGAAAAAATGATCACAGAATTTCAAAAGAAACAAACAGAAGATTCATGTTCTTAAAAAGAGGTACAATTTGAAGGGAAAAAAGAGCCTCAGCCTTTTGTTGAAAGAGTAACAAATCAGTTAGGGACAAATCTGGATCTTGGGGCGAAAGGAATATATTAATTTTTACTTTCCCCTTGTAAAACATAATAAAAAATTTTAGATACTCTTGTTGACAATTAAAACTTAGAATTTAACGATCAACATGATATTAATTTGAGGAGGACTCGGAAAAAAAATCCGAGTCCCAGGTGGGATTTGAACCCACGACCCTCCGTGATCTAGTCGGATGCTCTAACCACTTGAGCTACTGGAGACTCTATGGTGAGCAAGGGCCAATTTGTGGGTCTCGACTGGAACCGCATCACGCGGCTACACAGCCAAGCAATGACTGGCACACAAGAAGTGAAGAGGGTCGGAGGGTCGTGGGTTCAAATCCCACCTGGGACTCGGATTTTTTTTTCCGAGTCCTCCTCAAATTAATATCATGTTGTTGTTGTTTCATCTTTAATAATTTAACGATCCTTTGTTATATTTAGGTTAGGAGTAAATAGCTATTTTTTTTTTACAGTAAAACATAAACTGCATCATTTGCCTGTTAAACATAATTTAGCAGTTGTAAAAAATTAAAAACAGCTTTTGTTAAAACTGAGATAATGCCAGTTTTATTTGTAAGTCTTTTTAAATCTTAAGCCTTGATTTTAAAATATGTTGCTTGGTAAAATAAAATATTAAAGTTGAAAATTAAAAGTAAAAGCCATATAATATTTATTTGATAATGGAGATTTACATCCTAACATTTTTAAAATTTAAAATAATATTGCATTTGCAATTGAAGTATTAAGATTCATAAAAATTAAATAATACAATTAACTGAAATATGTAAAAAGCTAAAAATATTAATATTTATTTTACGCAATTTTTGCCCTTCACCAGCCATACTAAAATATCTTTTATTTTAGTACCATCTACCACAAACCTTAGTCACGTTTTCTTTCAATTTTCTTTTGACTCCAAAACATTTCATATATGTTACTGTTAAAGGCTGCTTCCCCTTGCTTCTGATATATGTTATACCTTTTCAGTTACATGACACCAGTGATTTTTTTTAGTTCCCGTCTTTCTCTAATAACTCTTCAAGAATCTTTGTACTTGATTTACTCTAAATACTATTTCCATGCAATTATCACTGTGACATGTGTTTCTAACTTGTACAGTTGCACATTACAACACTTTAATGCTCTTACTACTAATCTTTCTTGTGCTCTATGTATGGTAAATAAGATGTATGTCCTCCGCAGGCAGAGCCTTTCTCTTGTTCACTTTATTTTGTCTTTTGGAAGAAAAATAATATTATTTCTTGCTAAGCGTGCACTGGGAGTTGGTAGCCTGGTACAGATTGAACCCAGGCAAATCACTAGAGCACTAGAATGCTATTGAACGGAAAAATATGATTCTTGCTACAAGAATCTGAACACCTAGTGGTGTTGAGTTACAAGTTTCTTGACTTGAACTGAGACTAACCTTTCAGACGTTCTTTGTTATTAGCTCCTTCGACTACTTCTACTACCACCAGGGTCACTGAGTTACAAACAACTGCATCCTGTAAGTGTCCGTGATATGGTCTGATCCTTTTTTCCATTCTTGAAAGGCTCTTCTTGACTCATCTCCAGTGCTCTTTTATAACAGTTTTCTGTAAGCTTAGCTTGCAGTGAGTGAGTGAAGCATACCGGTACATCTTAAAACCTAAAGAAAATGTGAAAACTAGACTGTAAAAATTCAGTCAATACACTGATTTTAAAAAAGTACCTACATGTAAACACAGGCTTTATTGCCCTTGCACAATCTTTCTATGTCATGAAATTTCTGCATTTTTTGGAAAGATTGCATGGAAAGATGGAATTCAAATTTACCAGACCAGAATTAAGGATTGCAAATTGTGACAATAGCAGGGAAAGAAACTGAGAAAAACAAATCTTCATTTTTCTCTCTTGAGTTTCTAACAGTGCAATAATGCCAGGAAAAGACCTTGGTTACACACTTGAAATTGGAATGCACAGAAACAGTATTACATAACTCTTGCCACTTTCTTTTTCTGTCCTTAAGTCAGGATATACCTGTTAAAAACCTTCATCTTACTACCTGCCTTGAGACCATCTTACTAGTAGTTCAGTCATGCAAAATTGTGTGCATTTTGTTTTTGATACTAGTATCCTTTCATTGTACATGGCATTCATACATGTACTAAAGACCTACTGCACATACTCATGACCTTTCCACACTTGTACACAATCCTTTTTCTCACTTGTATCCTTTCATTATACATGCCTTTCATACATGTATATGTACTGAAGATCAGACCTACTGCACATTCTCATGATCTTGTCACACTTGGGCGTTCCTGCGTATCCTTTTTTCTCACTCCTATCCTTTCATTGTACATGGCAATCATACATGTTCTTAAGACGTACTGCACATGCTCCTGGTCTGACATGATCTTGCCGCACTTATACTCAATCCTTTTTTTTCTCACTCGTATCCTTTCATTGTACATGGCATTCATATACTTTACTTTCTTATGATCTTGTTACATTTACGCACTCTGTGTTTCCATGCTTAAGGAAAGTTGTGTGGATAAGGGATTTCATATGTTTGATTCTCATCTGCCTTAGCCACTTCAAATCTTCCACGAGCAAATGAACCTTCATTCAGTCTCTTTATTTGTCTGTGCACATTACCTTGCTGAACACATTTCCTCTTCTCATCTTATTGAACCCAAGCAGTGGCTACCATGCTTATTTTTCACGAAGAACACAAATTCTATTTCACTCTCTAAATCTGTTCTCTCTCTCTGTGAATCTGCTTGTAGCTACAGGGGAATCAACCAAACAACTTATAACTACTACAGCAAGTACATGTAAGTTCAGAAACATTTTAACCATAAATAACAATACATTACTACTGATTGTTGAGAAATAAGCACACTATGAAAGAATCTGTCCTGCTACTTTCCTTAACTAAAATAAGCATTTTCTCATTCGCCACTGTGTAGGATTTCAATTTTTCTTTTTTTGAAAATTTTCCAGCCGGTTTTCACAGTCCAGATTCATATTACCATAGTTTGGAGAGACCTGTAAATCTCTTTGTTTTCCACTAAATTCTCTTTGGTTCATTCTGTGGGGCAAAAAATGCTATGACCAGCCGCCAGATTTCTAGGCAATTACAGTATAAATACCAGAATGTAAAGTAAACTATGGCAGAATGTGTACTTTACACCATTTCCCATTGTGAGCCTCAGCTTGGAAAAAAAATGGTACAAACATTTACTGAAATTATGGTAATTTATAAAAGGTGCAGTAATATCGATGTTCATGCAAAAAAGTTTAGTTTGTACATTTTCTTGGGCTAATCTATAAAGTACATTCATCTTTCTTTCACTACCCAAAAAATTGGGTTGGTACATTCAGGTTTGAAATTTTTCTTACCAAAGAAAACTTCGAAGCACAGCAATATTGTCATTGTCTAAGCAAGGAGAAGGGCCAAATTTAGCAGAAACATCTCATCCATTCTGGCGGTCTTGCATTTGTGCATGCATCTTACGGCAAGTTGTGTGGATTACCTAAACATTTTTAAAACAAAGAAAATAAAGCAAATAAGGAAGAAAGGATTATAATAGCTTTTGTTATAAGAATCAAACAAAACTTCAGCAGGATGAGTAGATCTAAGGACTCCTAAAAATAAAAATAGCAATAATATCTTATTAACAACCACATTAACACAATTTATTAAGAGAGAACAAACATTAAATTTACTGACCTTGCCCAATATTATGACTAGCAGAGTTAATGTGTTAAACCTTAGGGGTATTAAATACTAAAAGGTTCTCTTTATATCACTCTGTTAAGATTTCTAGCAGCCTGGATATTTTTTAAGATACAAGACAGCAGACTGCCTCTGAATCTTTATAAAAAGAAGAGACTTTTCTCTCTCTGAGAAATTCAAATCAAGCAGATCAAGAAGAACTTTCAATGTTACATCTTCGAGAGTAGGGCTAATGAAAACTTATGCTAACCAATCAATAATTATTACTCTGATTTTCTAATCACAAAAAATTAAATTCAGTGCTTGAGCTAAAGTTCTGAAGCAGTTTTAATCATTATGTGCTTAACCATTACGTAACAAATAATGCCAAATGAAAATGAACAAGACCTACTAACTTATAAAGGTTTGTATTGCTAACCTGTCACCATTATCATCGACATAACAAAGCAGACCTTGTGTTACTTCAAGAAATGGCGTTAATGAACACACTTAAACCTTTTCAATTTTCATCTAACATCCAACAATGTCAACCTTGATAACCAAATAAGACATGAGATCTACCAATCTTTTTAACTCTTGAATGTTGATCAATCAGCACGTGATCTCTCTTTTCCAAAACAATTCTTGATCACTAAATATTCACGAGAATATTGGAATTGATCATCAAGGTCCAACCACAGTCATATTAACATCTAACAATGACAACCTTGCTGTAACCAAAAGAGACATGAGATGTGCTAACCGTTTTAACCCTTGAATGTTGATCAGCATCTCACTTCTCCTTTCCACAACAATACTTGATCACTTAAATATTCATGAGAATATTGGAAGTGATCATTAAGTTCTAATCACAATCATCTAATGATTTTACCTTCCGTCAACTAACTGTTTTAGTTTAAGAAATTAATCCAGTGCAGAGAATATTATTTGTTGGTACTTTTGGATACGTGGAGAAGAAACTTGCTTATATCGTGGCTCAATTTTAAGTCATTCTCATCCAAGGAATCAAAGAATCATTTTTTTCTGGAAGCATTTTTTCGGCTCAAACCACAAGATGTTATCTTTTTTCAAGAGAGAGCGCTTTGAATCTACTTACACAACCTTTTGAGTGGATTTTTTATCACGTAGTCAACAGGTAAGTTTACAGGCCAGGATTAAATTGGTTCTTGAAGTTTGCTGTCTTGTACTTGAAAAAGAAAACTTCCAGGTTGCCAGCTATCTGAGCATTGTGTTGTTAAGGATAATATGAATATGACAGTTATATTTCATGTCCAAGGTGAAAATTCTCCAGAGAACCTCAATTAAAAATTTAAGAAGATTAAAGTTAAGGTTGACATTTATGCAGAAGGTTCGCACCGTAGAGGTATAAAAGTGCTAGCCTGTAAAAAAAACTAAGGATTTAACGATCGATTTTAACATTATCTGAGTTACGTAGCAGAGCTAAAAAGCGTAGTATTTTGTCTTGTATTTTAAAAGCTCATGTATTAGAATTGGTGATTTTCTTAGTGCACGAATACAAGTTTTGCAAGAAAGAATAGCAATTTCATAAACCGCGCAGCATTTAAATACTTTTCTTCAAAAGCGTTACTTAAAGAAGACAGATATAACCTACGTACGCTAGAAATAACGACATAAAAATTAACATTAAAATACCTTCAATGAGCGCTGCCATTTTGAACACTTCCCAGGAATCTATGCGGTCGAAAGGGACGCAAAGGGTATGTTTTATTTCTTCGCAAAGCTTGTCAGTTTTCTATAAAAGCTTGCCCGACATAAATAAACATTAGGTTTTAACCAATAAGAACACGGATTGATCTGAAAAATAAATAACTTGAAACTCATAAAAAATAAATGCAAGTAATCCGACTTATCGTAGCATAGCTGGTAACCCTGTGGAACGTCACACCAAATTTAGGTGGCCTGTGTCCATCTGTTGAGCAAAGATAGAAGTGTTTTGAATTTTCTTGTAGTCACACCTAAGGTTGGAGCTCGCACTCAGTCCGGACTCGGAGCGGGAGCCATAGCTGGGATAGTTATCGCCGTGATATTGATCGTGCTCATCACCATCGATTTGTTTTGCTGTTTCTTCAACTCTTGCGGTATTATCTTCTGTTGTCACCAGGCCATCTGTGGTGGAGGTGAAAAAAAGGACACTTGTAAGTATTCTAAGTAAAGCATCTCTTGAGGATATGTAAAAAAACAACAACAACAAAAAGAAAAAGAAAAAAACTCCTAGACCAGCCATAAGGTGCATACAGGCACAGTTTCGTATAAGATTGATAAATCACAATAGGTAAATAAAAATGACGCTACCTTCAGGTTTGAAGCTATTAAAGCTAAGACCGATATGACCCCTTTGTTCTCAACAAATCGAAAGGGAAAAGTGAGTTGGTTACCCTGTGTAGGAAATCCATTTTCTTCGCTACTAACTAGTGGGGAGGAGCGTTGCGTGACGACGTTAAAAACGGCTGTGTAGCAGACTATACATGTTAGGGTTTAGTCCGGGAGTTCGGTGTAACCGACTTTTTAGGTTGCGAATTACTGAACTGGGAATTTCGTCCGGTTAGGCTAAAATAAGCAACCAAAGATCATTGGCATTCAGGGATTTTCTTCTTAATTTCTTATTCCAGATAAAGACGGCAAGGCAACAGAAATGGAAAAGTAAGCGTTTTTACCTGCGTCGTGATACTTACGTTTTTTTCCTTTTGTCGTTTTGTTTTATTACTGTAGTAACACGAATTCTAACTGCCCTATCTTTCACTCTTCTAGGAAACCTTTGCCTGAAAATGTCTAGCTGGTGAGCCAACATTCGTAGGAGTCAGCGGAAAGCTCTATAACAATACGATGCATTACTAACCACGCGCTATTGCTTTCGACTCAATGACTGACGTCACTTCTGACGTCATCTTAGAAAAGGACATTATGGTCATCTTGAAGAACATTTGTGCGATTGAAATAAGCTTAATCGGCTCACCCTCGGTGTAAAAACCTGTGAGACTCACGAGTGACGTAAAACAATGAATACAAAGAAGCCACTGAGGAGTCAACACAATAGACCCAAGGAAAATAATAGCTGGAAAACAAAGAAAAACTTCACAGGTTTTTACACCGAAGTAAACCCGTTTAATCTATTAGTTTTATATTTGCTAATGTATTTAGTCGTGTAAAATTTAATCCTAATTTATTGAGAGTGGGTAAATTTTAATGTTATGCGTTTATAACTTTGTAATTTTGGCTTCATTTAAATTTCTTACAACTATCAACTGATACAAAAAGTATGATGACCTAAGTAGTTTCTCTCTGATAATTCACCTTGAACAAACTAAAGGTAAACGATAATTCAAATTAGACGCGATTTCGTCTTCGTTAAAAAACACACTGGGTGCAGCGTTAAGGTTTCTCTGCAACTAAGGGTTATTCATTATTAATTATCAACAAAACTATTCCGGCCAGTTTTAGGTGAAATTTCTTTGAGACAATAAAATTAGTCACTTACGCAAACCCAAATGAAGACAACTTTAACTTACGTTTGCACGTGAACACTCAGTGTGAAATCACGTGTATGCCACGTTTCACTATTCGGGTTTGGCTGGCCGCAAATAGAGTTTATTGGGCAGAGAAAAACGCAGGAAAAATCATAAACGAAAACAGCCCAAAAAACTCTCAAAGGTCTGAAATAAACTCGCTTCTTTTCCAAGGAATAAACGGAGACAATAGCTTGTTCTTTATTCGGAACTTTCATTTGTATCTTCAATTCAGCTTCCATGTTTTTCCCATTTTTTGTATAAAACAGTTTTAATATTGATCATTGGGCCCCATTTGTAGAGTGTAGTACGGCCGAGTTGATTTCTCGACCAGTCGATCATATTTGGACATTGCGTATAATTTTTTTTGGCTTCGTTTTGCAATAAATCAAATATGCTTTAATGAATGAAATTCATCTCCCTCATCATAAAGGGTCTTTTTTTCTGATAAACAATTGAATGAGTAATACGAAAATTTCTTCAGACACGAAGAGTGAATAGTTTCGCGTCATCTCAGTGCAATCATAATGAAAAATTTACTGAGTACAAGAAGGTAGAATCGTTCACTAACTTCGTATCTTCTAACCTGCTATCGGGAAGGACTGCAACTACGTAGCTCTTTTCAGCTGTCTTTTGTTAAGTCTGTGTGTTTTCCACCGCGGTCAAGGTTAAACGTTTGTTGAGTCCAGCTCTAACCTCGTTTCCAAGGTTTATCCAGGCCCTTTTCGCTCTTGTTATCTAGTGAAGTGAAAAGAGAACCAAGGGTATACTAACCGTTGTTGAAAGGAGGAATCGTTCCTGTGATTTTTTTCAGGCGAGAGACTCTTTTTACTCTTCAAAACATTACTTTAATTGTTAAAGCAAGCGTTTCAACCGGTTTGAAAGAATAGTAAAAAATAAATGTTACTTTCAAAGTACTTGACTTGCCTCGACCGCGGTCGAAACGCCCAGTCATAAAGACCTGCCTATATGGCACAGTTGGTTGGCATACCACAGAAGGTTAGGGGATTCTGCCGACTTTCGTTAATAGGGAGCTTAAGCAACGGCGACAGCAAAGAGAACAGCAAAGAAGCAATACGTTTAGATTGGCAAAACAACAACTTTGCACGTGCATCTCGCTTCTTTGTACATTTCTTTCCCGTCACTGCACGACTACCACGTGAAACTTCCTAATTTCGCGTTTTATGGAGAACGGGAACACATGACAACGATTTTCTTTTTCCTTTGTGAACTTAGATACAGTCCTTTAGAATTCAACTCCTGAAAAAGACGCCGACATTTGACAAATTAAAGTGTTGCAATAACAGCGATGAAGTTTGAAGCAGCGCGACTGATTCACTTTACGGTTGACGTTTTCGCTTCCCTCGCCGTCGTCGTTGCTTAAGCACCCTAATTTGAAGCAGTTACTGTGGCCCATAAGTGGTTAAACACATCATCAAGAAATCCTCGCAGTTCAGTCTTCCCGTTCGAGCACCTTTCAGACATGCGTAATTATAATCAGTGATGTCTGATAATTCTAAAAGTGTGTGACGTAGAAGTCCTTTGAAACTATCGCATGATCGTGGAAGTAGCGAATGGTATTCAAAGGCTTCATTTTTCCTATAACTTCATTCTTAAATCGTCCTCGCGACGAAGACTTAAAACTCCAAATAACGAAAATAATGCAGTACTCTGTTATTTATAGAACTCGATCGAACCGTGTAAAATAGAGCGGTGCGATTGAACTAAAATTTACATTAGTGGAACCAACACCATGCTAAACTGTTCGCTATCCAGCTCTTGTTCGATCTTGTGTCAGTTCTTGCAATTATGTCCAGATGAGCATAATAAAATATCTCAGCGTTCTTAAGACTACAAAACAGCTTGCATTTTCTGTCCATACGTCTTGATGGGGCAGTTTAGGAATGCGTATGGTTTGCGAGATTCAATCACTTCCAGAACCTTTACCATAAGTGCAAAGGAAATTAATGGAATCCACTATCTTAACCTAACTAAGAAAATGTGATAGTTCCAGGTTATCAACTCACTTGAATAAACTAACCTTTGTTAGACTAAAGTGCTAACCAGTCAATTTCTAACAATGACTCTAAATATCAATTTAATCTTAACCAGACTTAAATCTCACTTAATAACACCCTAATATCAAATGGTTTTCCTCGATCTGATTATCAACTGCGTATGTAGTATCTTTTAAAGAGAAAGTACTATTTCGCAGTGTGCAATTCGTATGTAGTGAAGTTGATTGTAAGGAGGATACTAACTACATAACGGCCCTCACTGAGATTAACCAATAGCCGTACTGCCTGGCTCAGCATTTCTGTCAGAAATAAAGTAGTCCTATTTCCATGGCACCCTTCCTCAAGAAGGTTGCTTAGCGACCAACATCAGAAACCGGCTACGCTTAAGGAGGAATAGGCTAGGGTCGGCCATTTTTTCAGATAGTTATTGTTTAATTGAGGCTGACCTAATACGTGTTTGTTTTCGCGCACAAAAAGGGTGATACATTTCTGGTACCTCGTTTGTGACGACGCAAGAACGGTTGCGTTAGAGCCTACACTGGAGGGTAGGGTCAGACGCTAAGTACCTCGATGCAAGAATTAAACCCTTTCAATTGTGTATGAATATTTAATAGTTCTTTCATGAATTGAAAAAGCACTTCACAAGATTGAAACTGGACTTAAAGCATTAAAGGTAAGCCACAGTAAATTTATTAACTTTTTCAGCTAAATTTGTTAATCAAGTGATCAATTCTAACATTACTCTTTACTGATGATTTAATATCACCAACTGCTCCTGCGGCAGATCGCCGGCACCAAAGACATGGTAACGAGAAAACGTTAATCTCAAAATCTAATGAAGTAAACATCCTAACGAAATAACATCTGACCTGATTTTCATGAAACCTACAATAACTGAAATACTTTACAAACTGAAGCCTTGTTAAGATAATGAATTTGATTACAGCGATTTATCATATCTAATTCTCAAATTATTAATTCACTGATAATTATTCTATTAATCAGAATTCATATATTCATTTGTAATTTCTTTATTGTTGTACATTTTATCTACTTCTATTTTTACTGAACGTCTGTATTTTTTAATCAATTTTCTTATTTTGTATCTATATTTTCTATTTTATTTCATGTCCTTATATTATATTTTATTTGTTTTCTTTTTGTAGTTTAGCAGTTAAACTAATAAGCTATTTGTTCCTTCTATTACTTTTTATTTTGCTGTACGTGCATTAGTGTCACACACAACGTTTTAATCATGCCTCTCTTTACCATAACTTATGTTAGTTTTGCAGATCTCTTCACTTGAAATCAAACTAATCTATTCAATATTACATCTGTATACGTCTTGTTCCTTAATGGTATTGTTTACTTAACATGTAACACATTTTTATTTTTAAACTGGGTCAGCTTCAAGTATTGTTGAGTTTAATTTGGCAAGACTTCTCGCGATCGACTGCGACGCTCGCTCGATCGCTTCGCGAGCTCATTGAAACACGCTTTAACTGTTTTTAATATAAACTGGGTTACTGAAAAGCTTCGACCCTGTTTTACTAACAAAACATGTTTTTAGCGACTGTTTTTTTCTCAGTCTTATTTACAATGTCAACGTTTATTTATATATTGTTGTTTTTAGTTTTAGAAACCTATTTAAGTCTAACAGACATGTTGCGGGCTCCAAATTGTCTGACATTAGTATAACCCTTAGATCCGGTAGTAGAAAAACACGCCCCCTCTCCCTCTCCACACGTACCCGTTCCCAGTCATCATCACGCCCCTTGCAGACTGTGGGCCATTCTTGACTGCTGTAATCAGTGAGCGAACAGTTCAGACGGACAGTATGTTGAGTCTTTTTTCTTCTTATCTCATTGTAGCTGGTGAAGCCGAGGCCTCAAAAGACTCTCTAAGCTCTGGAGCCGTTGCTGGCATAGTTATTGCAGTGATTTTGATCGTGTTAGTCGCCATAGATCTGTTCTGTTGTTTCTTCAATTCCTGCGGATTGTTCTTCTGTTGTTCCCAGGCCCTATGCGGAGGAGGAAGTGGCGCTAAAAAGGAAGACTGTAAGTATTACGCAGGCATGCGCAGTAGCCATTTAGCTTGATCTTTTTTGGTAGCGCGAGTGTCAAATTTTTTCGGCCCTGGATCCGCTACTGTCAGCTATGATTGCAAAAATCACCATAGAAATTATTATGGTTAGTGCTCCCTGATGAAATTTGTTTGATGTCTTCTTTATAACTCTATAACTCTGCACTAAGTAAATGACTTTAGCACAGAATTGACCTCAAACAGCAATATCATCGTGACAGACATAGCCCCATTCATTCACAGATTTAAAAGTTGGAACTACTTACTAAATAAATAGTACCATGTGAAAGTATTGCTGAAGAGGTTTCATTTGAATGGTAACACCTTGGGATTTCATCCACAGACTTAAAAGTTAGAACTACAAACTAAATGAATAGTACCATGTGAAAGTACTGCTGAAGAGGTTTCATTTGAATGGTAACACCATAGGATTTCGTCCACAGACGTAAAAGTTAGAACCACCGCACAAAACTACTTCATTCACTCTAGCATTGAAAGCCGGCGTTCAAAACCAAGCCTACTTCTCGATCATTTGTTATACTACCGATAGAAATAGCTCGTTTAAAGACAAACAAGAGTTTTGTGCAATTTTCACAGACAGGTTAAAAGTGTTACTAACAATGTGCTATAACTATGTTTTTTTCAGACGCCGATGGCAAGGCCACAGAAATGGAGAAGTAAGGGCCTGTCTTTGGTCATTTTCATCTTTTTCTTTTCATTACGTCGGCAATTATATAGTTCTCATACAATGTATCTCTTATTTTTTCCGTTTTTCAAAAATTAGCCTCGGTTTTCTCGTTTTGCCCTGGGAACGAGGGTTAAGCTTTCGTAATTGGCTCAAAGCTCTTAAGCACTTCACAACCAATCAGAAATGACGTTTTCACGAAATTCCCACGCTTGCTGTGCCGAATACCAACCTCGTTCCCAGGGTTAATTGGTTCTTTGAAATTTGCGCTCGTATTGTGATTGGTCAGACAACCACGTGTCATTTGGTTTTGGTTTTACAACATAAAAACCTTAGCCAAAACAAAAAACCCAGGTCAGTTATTTGATTATTCGTGTTGTCAATTTGTGCTCATAATCCTTAAACCTGTTCTGTTTTTTTTTCTTTCAGGAAAAAGCTGGCCAAAGAAAGCGATAACGCAAACGTGTAACATTAAACGAGCTCCATGAAATTGGAGTTCTTTATTAACACTGTTTAAGTTAAATCGTTTCATTTAGAAAAAGGGATGATAAATCAAAGGGCATTGCTTCCATCAGCCTCGTTTTATGGGGGAGGTGGGAAGACGAGATAGACTGGAAATGAAATTGAGTTTCCCTCGACATAGTTATCTTAAGCTACAGAGCAACGCGATAGGACAGTACTGCCGTCTTTAACCAAACCGCTTGCTTGGATTTAATAAGTTATCTGCAATCCTTATGTAATTCTGCTGGCAAATAGCAAATGGACGTGGGGATTTTGTAGGGAGGCTTACACTAGGTGTGGTGTTTTATTTTTCAATTTGTAGACAAAATAAGATATTTCCGAAAAGTTGTCAAATTTACATTTTCTTCTTGAGAATGTCTAGATCGGATCTCTGCCTTAGGGTCACGTTGTTTGTTTTTTTTTTTTGCCAAAAAAAAATCGCTATGCTTAAAGAAGCTCAAGTCACTTAAAGCCAGTTGGGCTTAATGGCAATTGGTTCATGCATCAGCTTGCGTATATCGAGACATGAATAACGCGGGAAGGGGCACAAAAGAGGCGTGCGAGTGGCTTTACAATACGCAATAAAACCTATCGTCTGAACCGAGGGGGTCTGGCTACGAGTCCTAAAATCATAGGATTATCAACATGCAACACAAAACTCAAATAATTAGAAAGAGCACATCGAGACCAATAAAAAATGAGATGCAGACATCACAATTCCCAAACTGAAAATTTACTTAAATAAATGTATGGACATCTGAACATGACCCTGATCGTAAAGGAGTCTGGCTCCTATGCTATGCTGATGAGCACTAATAAGGGCCAAACGGGTGCCCGGGTGCTGTGGCTGTGAGCATGCGTAAGATATTAGCCAGGCCCGGTCGTGGGTTGGTGTCCATGTGTGTGACTTGGCTGTGGCTTGTTCATATTGAACTGATTAAAGCCAAACTTAGGAGATTTTGTAAGGTTCGGTGTGCTCTTGTTAATATTAGCGAGCTTAAGCAACGAAGACGGTGAGGGCAACGAGAACGCGAAAAAAGGAATAAGTTTCGTTTGTTAAAACAACAACTTTGCATCACGCTTTTTTGTACATTTCTTACCCGTCGTTTTACGGCTAAAACGTGAAAATGCCTGATTTCACGTTTGTCGAGGACGGGGACACAAGACAAAACTTCCTTTTTCTTTTCCTAAACTTTGATACAGTCCTTTAGAATTCAACTCCAAAAAAAGTTGCCAACATTTGACGAAAAAGGCAGGATGAAATAAGCGCGACAAAGTTTGAGGCAGCGGGAATTCGCCGTTTTGAAGTGACGTTTTCGTAGCCGTCGCCTCCGTTAATGCTTAAGCTTCCCATTACCATGACACGGACTTTTACCTAGTTCCCTAGGTTTGAAAATAGGACATGGAGTTCGTGCATTCCTGGCGAGGGATAATGTTATCCTCGAGTGGATTTTGTAAAACTTGTAACTAGACTGAAAGTGCACCTGTTATTTTGAATGTTTGGGTACAAAGCGTGTGCTGCTATACTAATTTTGAAGAAAGATAAGAGACTGTTTGCAGTCTGGTAATTTTTATCAAATGCACTCCTTGCGTCATTTTCTAGAACAGATCAACACCTTTGAGTGTTTTGCTGAAAACTTGGAAGATCTGTCATAGATGATGGCGGAGGTAAAATTATTTGATGAAAAAATACAAATGTAGACAGAAAAATGTTGTAGTAACCAGAATAAACCTTTAAGAAATTTCTATCTCTCTACCAATGAACGAGTGTATTTTCCACTGTCTTAGAATGCACTTCATATAGTATCTTGCTACGAGTAACACGAAAAATGAACTTGGCGTTTCTTTCTGATGACGTCACGTCAGCTGCGCTCCAATCGGCAAAAGCTTTGATAAAGCCGCGTAAAGGAATTTTTGCTGCAATATTTAGATCATCGGTTACCTAGCAACGCAGAGGCACCTGCAGATATTGCACGTTATAAAAGCGATATATAAATAACGTAACGCTTTAAATTGTTGTAATTATTTAGCTAAAATAGTTATTAAAAATAAAGTATAAGCCAGTCTTGCCTACTTTTTTCTTCTTTAACTAACGGTGCTTTCCAAAAGTAAGAACTGGCCGGCGGGACCGTGGTCGGACCAGAGATTTTGGCAATGAAATAGGCTTTTTCCAAGACGTTTTGCTGAAAAACCATCTCCTTTGTACATAGTATTTAGGTTTTGAATGATCTGGATGGTTAGTTTTGATTAAAAGTGAAATTCGTATTACGATGGGAATAGGCTGGCCTGGACAAATGGAAAGCGCCCTAAGTAACCCTTTTTATCTTTGGGGAGTTAGGATCGGGAAGGTTGGGTTGGACAGCTAGGATAAAATACCTCGTATTCGACATTAGATGTAGCCTAAAGCCGGGGGGGTACTCCCTTAAATCAGCCACATAGGTATGCGCCGTCCCTAAGGGTGGGGTTTTTGCCCCGTTTCGGTCTGAAAACCGGTATCCACTTTGTAGGATTCCGGATTCCTTGAGCTGTATTCCAGATTCCAAAGCCCGGGATTCCTGATTTCACAAGTTTGAGGTAAGGGAGGGGATAGTCTGGTCTGGTTTTAGAGGAGATGTTTTGCCTCTTTGGAATAACTGTAAATGTTGGAAAGAAACGTAACTGATTTTTCGTAATTTGTTATCGAATGGGTCATTTAGTCATTAAGTGATGCGTTATATAGCGCACATAGAAATACTTTAAAGTGTACTTTTATGAAAGCAAACTTCAGCGTAATGAGCGAGCGGTCAATATTCGCATCTTATGACGTCATGATACCCGTACAGAAATTTTTGGCGGGAAACAGCCATATTGTTAGATGGGCTGTTAAGATGCGCTCTCTTCATTGCTCTGTGACCTCGAAGTTGCCATTGAGCGAGCTGTTGAAGAAAAACACGTCAGCCATATAAAACGATCATTTTGCACAACTTAGAGAATGCTGAGAACAGCTTCTAACTTGCCATTAATGCGGAAGTTTAAGACCAAATGTTTCAGTAAATTTATTTTCATTTTTATCACCGTTTTAGGTAAACAATTTGAAAAGATTTAGAGCTGGGCACGACATGAGGTGCTAAGAGAATTCCTGGCAGTACTGATTCACACGACCTAGCTGCCACTGTTTTGGTTATTCCTGCTCTCGGCTGCTTTTTCCCACGATGATAACTTTGTTATTATTGTTTTCTTCCAATGCCCCCATTATCAATAGCTGATGAGATAAACCGAGTTTAAGAAAAATAACAAATGTCTATTTGTAAAACGCCGAAAATCTGCAGAGTCATAAAAAAGTGATGTTTTTAGGTCCCTTTGCTGCTTATCACTATTATTTTTTTCGAAGACAAAACTACAGTAAGATTTTATTAGCCCAAAGACGGAACCCTTAATTCTAAGTTTGTACGTGCAGACAATTAATTACAATTGTTACACTGTTGTTACTCACTTATAATAACCTTTTATTAAAAGACAACCTGAATCTATCAAGTATTTTAACATCTGTAGAATCCACGTTTCTTTTTTATCCATACTAAGCCGAATGTTTCAAGCAAAAAAAATCCCAACTTTGTATAAGTATTTTTTCAAGGGATTTATCCATGGTTGTTCAGTTAGAGGTTTTTAATGTTGCGACTTTTCTTTGAATGGGCTTGGCCTGTTTAAAAATTCCTCAAACGTGAGCACGTAAATTGGCTGATAATTTCAAGTAGGCTTTGTATATCAATGTCGTTGTTTTATGGACATAACGCCACATAAATATGGTCGTTGATAGAGTGGTTGAGTTGGCATTTCAGTGCTAATCGTGTCTAGCATAGATATTTAATACGACAAAACAAGACATCTGATTCTTGTTATTCTAACTTCTGTCAGTAAATAACTCAGATACATTTCGCTGATAGCGTTTTTGACCAATCACGACCAAAAAGCCAACTCAAGTTTTGTAAACACAGATTATATGATTAAACTCCATGAGACCACGATAATTGACAATTATCTTCAATTCAGACCTCCTTGTTAGCGAAAAAGTTATACCGAGAACATTAAAAGGCATTGCGGAATTTAACAGTTTTCAGGTTGCTTTGCCCAGGCTTGGGCGGGCGATAAAAATGCTTCAACAGTTTACCACCAATAGCTTCGAGCTCTATTTAAGAACATGGCCAAGATCGTCGGCGTTTAGAAGACCAGAACGGCATGAGAAAGCGCCAGCAACGAAAAGTTTCATGATCGATGATATTTTGAAGAGGGTGGAACCGGCAAAAAAGAGCAAGGAATATAGTGAACTCTGTAAGTAAATCGAAGTCTTGTCTAGTTACAACTTTTCAGACTCCAAGTTACTTCGTGTCCCGTTTTAAGTTGTTTGTAAGTGTTGCGTGGCAAATCTCAAAGAAATGAATGATGCACATTAGCCAGCTTTAGTGTTTTATCGCCGAGATTCATTTGCTGATTTGGTTTCTTTTTGAATGGAGTTACACGATTTTTGTCGTTTGCTTGTAACATGTTGAAGATTAAGCCGTTTTATTGTTTGGCAACAAATTTGTAAAACTGCCGACAACTTCTTGTTCAATTCACAAATCGACGTCATTTAATAAAATTTGCTGTGGTTGCCGACCCACTTAGCAAACAGGAAAAACGACAAGCAACACAGGAAAGTATCCTGAATCCTTCAATTAAGAGGTTTCACTTCAAAATTTGGAAGTTCAAGATTATAAGAGTAAGAGAAAACAAAATGCCACCCTTTTGGAAGTCAGTTGGTTGCAATCAAGTTGGTAAATTTAGTCTAGAGGCGACCAGGCAGGGTGACGGCTTTAAAACAGTCTAAAATACCACCAAGATTGAGTTCTGGTAAACTTGATATTCCAACGAAAGTGTTTTTATCAGTGGAAATTTCCTATAAAGATTAGTCTGGCCTTGCGTTAGGTTACTAATACATCAAAATTGTTACTAGCCGTGTCGTTGTCTAAGGACGGCCATTGTCACTGTATTTGAGAAAAATGGATTTGCGCTGTTTCGGGGAATAACTCTTAGAAGGAATTTTAAAATGTCTTTTCTTGATTATTGTGGTTCTCGCTCTTGGAAGCAGGTATAGCGAAACCATAAGTGACGTTTTCAGAACTCAGTTATAGAGTTGCAAGTTAGGCGGGTGGAAGGCAGCGGGGAACAGAGGCATCAAACGATGAAGTGGGAGGATCCATTGTGTTTCAAAACTCTTTATGAAAACATCATCATCTTTTTCAAGTCACACCTACCTCGAAAATTTCTTCTGGCGAACTGTGTATCAGCTTCAAAGTATTTCTAATAAAGTTATTCCTTGACGGAAGTCTATGAATAAAATTTTCAACGTATCGTACAAGAATTAAATGTCAGAATTTTAATTTTCGCAGCATACATCTGGAGTGGTCACATGCCAACTTTTTCTCTATATCAAGCTAATATGGACAAGCTAGACGCCTGTAAGTATAAACCTCAGGCTTTGACGTTTTTAGGGAAGAGTGAAAATCCCGGGGGGGTACTCCCTTATATAAGCGTTATATGTATGTGCCACCCCAAAGGGTAGGGTTCTTGCGCCGTTTTGGTCTGAAAACGGGTAAAGACTTTGCCCATTTGGGTATGGAACCGGGTATGGTTCTAGGGAGAACTCGTAGGAGAATATGAACGTATTCATGGTTTCAATTCCAAATGAGGTAGAAAGAAAGAGATACATGAGAACGTGAAATCTTTTTTGTTCTTGTTCCAATCAAAGTAATGATTTAATAATTTCTTAGACGCCAGGTCTGAAAACGGGTGTGGATTTCAGAGGCCAGGTCTGAAGAGGGGTATGAAAAAATACATTTTTTTGTCCAAAATAGGATTTCTATTTTCCAAGATTTGGAGAACCGGGTCGCACACCCCACCAATAATTCCCAAGAGTACCCCCCCGGGGAAAATCTTAACCTTTTGAGGTTTTTTGTGGGTTAGAGACTGGGTTACTCAAGAGAAGTACACCTGGACTCAAGAAGTATGGCGAATGATCTGTGAAGCCCGTGGCGTGTGTTTAATACTGTGGAAGCCCAGGCAGGGAGGTTTATTAGATAGCAGGCGTTTAAATAGTGGTAATAGGACTGAGTGGAGTCCAATAATTCGGTCTGAAATCATAAGAGTGATTTGTTAATCACAAGTATGATTACAGACCGAATTGGACGACTCAAAGTTCTGTTACCAATTTATCATAACCATTACAATTTCCGAAAAAACAAATGCAGCCTTTTTTCTGAAGGAGTTTTTAATACCAATTATCCAAAATTACGGAAAATATCACTGGTAGACACAGTCTCATGTTACATATTTCGTCTATTTTGGAAAATCCCCAGTTTGGTAGGGTAATTGGTTATTGTTATAATTATTGTGATAAATTCTGTGATTGGTGGATTTAGCTGAGTGCACTCAATATGATTGGCTGATATAACTGTTTGATTACAGGTGTCCGATTACAGCCAACTGTCCGATCAATAATTCGTGAAAATAATTTTAAGGTTTTTTTTAGGTTTTTAATAAAGCAGTTAATGCACCAATCAAATTTGAGCAAATTGTAAGGGTTGTGATTTAAGGGAGAAGCGTTTATTCTCTGTAACAAACTCCACATAATAATCGGCTTTCGGCGAATATATCACCACAGCAGACTATATATCCAGTAGTCCATCCATTGATACCGCGTCTAAGCCGTTTAGAGATCTTTAGAGATCAGATCCTTACTCTGAACCGGACACTCAACAGCCAGGGTGTAATGCGCAGACTCTTGTTAAACAAGAAACCCAAAATAACTGAAATGATTTTGCTCCATTTTACTATTTCCTAGTAGAATGGACAACTGTCGTGAGGGGCGTACTAGACAAGAGGCGTTTATTTGAGAGGGCGTCTATAAGGTGATTTACGGCTGCAACTCAAGAATTTTTATACGTCCAACCTATCCACTTTTACCCCTCGTGATAAGAAAAAAGGATCAACATAAAAGTTTGGCAGCGCCTGAAAACGAGGCAAAAACAGCTCTTGAAAGAACATTAGTAAAAAAAGATTTAAAAACCCCGTTTTTTACATGACATGTATTTCTGTATTTAGATGCAACACAAGCAAGTCAGAGAAAAACTGAGGTGGTATGCCCAATACCGAAGTATTTTCGCGCCTTTTTGCACGATAGCCGGCGTTTCCGCAGAACACGCACAGTCTTCACGCGTGCGCAGCTTCACGAACTGGAAGATAGATTTGAACGCGAAAAATATCTGTCCACGCACGGAAGGAAGGACTTTGCACGACAACTAAAACTCACGCCGTTGCAAGTGAAGACGTGGTTTCAGAACCGGCGAATGAAATGGAAAAAGGAAATGTTGAGGAAAGACCCAACTGCTGTAACAACGCGAGCGAAGGGTCGTCCCAAAAAGGACGAATTCTGATTGTATAGATGTTAACGAAGTTTTCATAAAGAAAAAAGTATAAAAAGGAGGCGGAAATTGCGAGCGCAAAAAATAATTCATGCGCGTGTTTACTCGCGCAAGATGCTGCAGTTGTAGTCAACGTTTTGAGGTGTAACTTTTGACGTACCGAAATAGAATTTAGTTTAGAATTATTAAGTTGTCATGTGACGTTATGTCAGTAGAAGCCTTGTCTTGTTGTGCTTTTTTGTAATAATTGCGTTGATAAGTTTTAAAAGGGTTTTTGATAATTGTACATGTAGGGGCTTTGGGTTTCATTATATTGTTTGAGTTACATTTGCTAATGATTAGGAGAACAGAAAAGTATTGCTCAGTAGATTTCATTTGAATAGCGCAGCCGCACTTTCATAGGATTTCATCCAGAGACTCCAAAGTTAGAAGCAACTTGTATTGCATAATTTTTTAAACGGTACCGCATGAAAGTAATGATCAGTAGCTTTTATAGGACTTCATCCACAGATTCTAAAGCTAGTCTGACTAGAATGGGTAGCAAAATGGAGAAAAGAGCTTAGAACTGAGATGAATAAATGTTAAAAACGCCATCGGTCTTTTGCAATCTGTCAGTGGGACTAAATGCTGGTTGACTGGATATAAGAAGACATTTATTCTCTCACGGTAGCTCCTGTCAAGGAGAAAAGTTTAGTTTTGGTTAGAAAAATAGATAAATGGAAATAAAGAATATAATACATTTGTTTAGCCATGCGTCAGTTTCACTGAGGTTCTTCGACGGAATGTTCCTGGCGTTTCGAACCGGACGCTTTATCTTTGCTTTTTACTGCAAGAGAACGAGAAAAAGCTGTAACAACATTTGTTAACTGAAAAATTATTGAAAATTTTGCTCCAAATGACGAATTATACCAAACATTATGCTAGCACAATCTATCAAAGCCTAACCACGTGTAGTGGAAATTTGTCTGGAAGTTTGTCTGGAAGGTTTTCCGAAAGTTTGTCTCAAGTTTTTCTGGAAGTTTAGCCAAAACTTTGTCTGAAGATTTGTCCGAAAACCTATTGATATTCTACCATTCTCGTTGCCGTCGCCTTTGCTTGAGCTAACTAATGATTGACAGGCAACATGGTGTACTCACATTTTTCGTATTCAAGTCTTCTGTTAGTACGGTGCATGAGAAAGTTGATAACGCCTTTCTGTTTAGTCACGTGGCATATGTAATCACATAGCAGTAGGAAGATCACACTGGCTATAATCACAACGATGATGGCGACCATCTTCATGTCTAAGGATCAATTTAATGAAATCTGTTTTAGTCCTTAAACAGTGAGTGACACTGGAAGAATTCCGTAAGTTTAGTACAATTCAGGGTAAAAATAATTTTCAATCTACATTCTCTTATATGAATCACTCTCTGGATCTTCAAGGTCAACGAAAACGAATACTTTTCTGTATCACTTTCTGTAAAACCCGTGGAATTAATGAGTAAAAGCAATGGTTGGATGAAATATTTGGATGAGATATTTTTGACGCCAAAGATTAATCTGTAAGTAGCATGAAAGTTTGGTGTTAATGCGATGTGGCCCAGGTCTTATAGGAGAGATGGATGTTTCGAGGTTATTTTCTCCTGTATAAGCACAAGGGAGACTATTCCAGAAAATGGTCTTGGCCCGCCGGGGATTAGTTTCTTGGCCATGGATTTTATTTTTGGACCAAATTTGTGCCTGTCATGATCATAAGGGAAGAGGAGTACAAATTCCGCAAGAAGACAGTGTTCTACCTCTTGGCTTTTCTCCACAGTGTTTTCCGTTCCGACCATCTACAGCGTCTGCGATCTTGTGCCCTGATTGGTCCACGCACCAGCAAGTGTCCAGATGAATAGAACATTGGATCACGTGATACGCACCGTTTGCATTGCATCGAGGCAGAAATTCGAGTCGCAGTCTTGGGTCACGCGCCACGATGCGGTCTCGCTGACATTGCGTGGAATCTATAAGATATCATAGTGCGTTTAAAACCGCCAAAATCCCGATTCTTTACCAATGAGGGGTTCTCTCCAACAGAGAACCCGGGAACGAGGTTGGGTGTCAACAAAACCGGGTAGAATTAAGCTGATATGGAATTAATAGTTTTGTTTGTATGGATGAATTTTACCACCCCTAGTTGAGTGGAACAAATCAGTCATCCCGGGCACCGGCAATCGTTTCAAGAGGTCTTTTCCGAAAGTAGGGGGCAAGGGAAATGGAAAATAAAACTTCTCAGTATGCCTACCGGTAGTCTGCGTGGCAGGTGTTTGAAAGTGAAGGGAAAGGGGGTTTTGGGCGCGAGAGAAACGCGAGGGGTGCGCGAGGAGGAAGGGAGGAAAAACGCCTGCTAAGCAGGCTACAGTGTGCCTGACCGCGTGGACACGTCCACGCATCATGAGAGGAGATTTCTCAGATTTGTGGCTGACTATAGAAAAAAGAATTAACAAAAGTAGTCTAGCCTGCAGAACAGGCGTCATTTTTTTAAGCTTTTGTTTCAAAGGAGCACGGCCATACTGAAGGCTAGGCGCATGGTGGGTGTGGAGCGCGAGTTTGCTTGCTGGTGCTTCACGCGCCCTCCACGCCCGCACGCGCCTGCCATCTGACCTCGTCTCCAGGGGTTTTCCCTTCAAAAATGGGAGGGGCCCATTTTTGAGGGAAGAATTAAATACATTATATTCTTTCGCACTGATTATAGGGATGAGGAAAAAAATACAAGCCTGAAAACGGTTGCGTTTCAACCTTTGCTTAACGCAGAACCTACTTTTCGTTTTATCCTCTTGAAGCTTTATCGTGATGTCACCAAATCCTAGTCTGTTTCGGGCTCTACACTTGTAGTCGCCAAAGTCAATGTCACGATAGGGAGTCACGCGTAACGTACTCACTCCGTCCATATTTTCTACTTTCTGTACACAGTACTTGCAATTGGTGTCCAGTTTCTTGCCGTCTTTTGTCCAGTGCACCTTAGGTGGGGGGTTACCAGTGTAAACACAATTTAAAGTGGCGTCTTTTCCTAGAGGAGTAGTTTTTACACGGTCTGAACGGCTTTTGTCGATGCGAGCCTTTTCCACTTTAGGCGACACTAACAAAAGTGAGTATAATTTGAGTCAGTTTTACAGTCTGGATAGCAAACAACAATGAGTATAAAACATTAGATGACGTTCACTTTTAACAAGAAATGACTGATCGATTTCACACAAAAAATATTTTAATTCCGGGCAGCCCTTATCCTAAGCACAAAGACAAAGTTTTTAAAAAAAATCTTTAAACATAATTTTAAACATAGATAATAAAATTTCGACGTACAAGCAATGACAAGTTTCCATATGTAGTACCAAGGAGTGAATGTTCTCTCCCTTAACCTCCCTTACCTGGACTTAAGAAGCAATACATCCATAAAGTGATGAAAACTGCTGTTTTCATGGCATAATTGACAATGTTTTCTTACAAAAGAAAAGTTTTCTTCAACTGTGACGTAATAAACGAAAAGGGCTCGCGCTCACGATATGCACGTATCATCGCGCGCGCGCTCGCGAAAAAGACACTCCTCGTTTAACTTGTAATAAAACTCCTGAAAAACATAAAAAGAAAAACTGTTTGAATGCAGAGGTCCACGTAACACATAAATATAACTGACTGGTTCCTCTTGCCGGATCTCTAATTAAAGAGATGCTGTAGCCCAGCTGTAGCCAGACGTCACTTAAAGTGTAAAATAAAGTAAAACTGAATGCGGCTCTGGACCAGAGGAAGGCTAATATTGTTAGCCGAAACATTGACCTATAGTAAATCAGCCCTTTGCCGTAGTCCCAGTCCTGCATTCAGTTTGTTTTATTTTTCTGCAAAACAGATTTATTTTCACTTGTTTTGGTTTTGCGTGGACACTAAAGCGATCTTATCTCTGGAACTCCCGAGATTTATGAAAATATAAGAGTTCGGAAACGGCCTCTGCTTGAATAATTCATTGCATATTTCCAGCAATATTTGTTCGGAATCTTGGCGAAAGAAAATTTTTCTTTCTTCGCCACTTTGGCTGATGAATCTCGGAATAACCTTATGGGTAGCAGAACACGTATTACAAAACAGATATTTTATAAAATATTTTACGGGTAAGCTGAAGTAACAATTTTCAATAAGTTATATAGATAAGCAAGAGAGAATGAGCTCATTCTCTCTTGCTATAAGTAATTTAAGCCATAGTGTGTTTTTTTATTTTAATGAAAAAATCGTAAGCTCAACTGAACTTTCAACCTCGGGGAAACATGGGCAGTAGGAGCTTGGGCAGCTAATCGGGACAAAAAGCAGGGGGACCCCCGGATATCACAAAGTGCCAAGTGATCGGGATTATTAATCTTCCGTTATAACGGGGGTACATTATGCGTCTTATACCAGAGTCCTAGACATTTTACTATAACTGGAGGCAAAGCCTATGTTATTGGTTACACCCGGGTTCGATTATTTTCTCGTGAGTCAAATAATTGCTTTCAAAGTTCACAGAACCAACAATCATGTTGTTGAATGATATCTGAATAATACCTTTTTGCTCTTTTTTTAATAGCATAATCTAGGCAATAAATACCACGTGGTCATTATATTTTCCCGCCATTTTCACGGTTCAATGGCGCTTGTGGAGGGGAGATCTTTGAATTCTTGGCAATTCTGAATTCAACAAGAGATTTCCAAGCCCAAGACTAGTTTTTTGTGCCTAGTTAAATGTAAAAAAACTACATGTTGAAATGTAAATGTTTTAGCAAAAAGAGCAACGAACAGAGCGAACTAGCCTGCTTGGAGGCCTTTTTTTCGGGCGCGCGAAAGTTTTTGATGTTGGTCGCAATGTTGCCGGTTGCTATTTCTACTCTCCCCAATCTTCCTCTGTCATAAAAATCAAAGATCATGAAAGATGGCGGCTACAACGGTGAACTTTCGCCCGCCCAAAATACTCCTGCACTGCAGGCTAAGTGTGAACAAGCAAAATTAGACAGTCTGTGGTATTTTTATACGGAAAGGCTTGAAAGGTCGAACATGTCAAGCATAAAGTAAACACATGAAATGAACCGACGGCGGCGAAGACGTTGACAAATTTGAGCTCTGGGTCAGCCTGAGTCGACCCCCCCCCGGGGGGGGAGGTACTTCCTTATAAAGAGGCTAATGGGGATGTGCCGCTGGATGGGGTCGAATTTTCACGACTGGATTGACTATAATGGGGTCGCATTTTCGGATTTTTCATATTTAGGTTAGCAAACACACCAGAATGTTTTTACTGTAGGTGAGAATTGAAGTGTTCTTCATTCAGTTTAAAAAATGGGTCAATTCATAAAAATAGAAAGTGACTTTTAAGTTCGCAAAAATTACATATTTGCCCAAACGTGACTAAGATGGGGTCTATAATTGGTCACAGAATAGACTATAATGGAGTAGGGGCTCTGAGAAGCCAGAGGCACATACCCAGCAAAAAATTAATCAAGTACCCCCCTCCCCCCGGTCGACCCACCGTTCAGCAGGCGGAGTGGATAAGACTCAGTTAGGAAATGCAATTTCACCCGTGAAAATACTGTCGCTTCAACCCAGCATTTCGCTTTTCCTGAGCGATGTATCTGGCGTGACAAGCCCCAAAGACATGCATTCAAAGATGGCGGGCCTAATTAATGGGCGGCCGAGTACCTTGTTTTCCCCATTAAAAGGCCCGCAGGTATTTGTGCCAAACTTGCCCGGGTGGACCCGGTATTTGTTTGAATGTGCGATTTTGTAATCGGTCCAACTGACATACTCTTCTTTTTGAAAATTACGTACCTTTATACCATACGGTAGTCAAGCTGCACTACAAATTACTCCGGGGGGGGGGGGAGTACTTCCTAGTAATAGACTGGGGATGTGGCACTGGACGGGGTCGCCTTTTTACGGATGGATTGACTATAATTCTCTCTTGCTATAATAGGGCTGCATTTTCATGGGAGTTGCTAGAATGGAATCGCACATCAGTCGGGATTTGGGGGATCAGAAAACTCCCGTAGGTACGGATTTAAAAATGGGAAGAATTTTATTTCATCAAGTTTAACCAATGTGTCAATTCATTTCACGATGACCTAGTTTAATAGCCGCTTTACAAGGTAGATGTATAACAGAAAGTTACTAAGTTGGGATCGCGAAAATTACATTTTCCCAAAAGTGACGAAGATGGGGTCTATATTTGGACACAGAATAGACTATAATAGGGTAGGAGTTTTGAGAGGTCAGCGGCACCTTCTCAGCAAAAATTAACCCAAGTTGCCCACCTTCCAAATTACTTATGTCTGAGGTGATGGGTTTATAGGTGAATTTGTGCTTACTTTCTGTTTTTAAGTTTTGCCTAATTTTCTTAACCACTTACAAAAATGTCACGTCTGATTACTCGACCAATTACCTCTCTCAAAAATCTCGCTTCGATACACCTATGCGTTTTCAAAAACTTTTATCTTTCAAAAGAATGTGTGGACTCCTTAACACTTTTGCCATCCTGTAATTTATCATTATTTTTAAGGCTGATATCATTGCCTAAAGGTTACGGTTTGACAGGCTCTTTCAAATATTGAATTCAATTTTTCTTTAGCGTTTAGCCTGCGAATAAATCCGTCTCTCCTTCGTCCCCAAGGAGAGAAGGCTGTGTTGGCAAGCTATCTAGCATTTTGTTTTTCCTATCAAATCCGTCCGTAAAAGACTTCTGTAAACAGATCCAAACTATAAACTGTCAGCAAAGACTCGCCATTTTTAACACACGAACAATCAGGCCATTAAAATTTCTTTTCAAGTGAATCATGTCAATAATAAATAAATATTGTTAAGTAGATAGCCATTGCTTGGCGTCCATGCAAGATGCAAAAACGGGGATATTGTCGCAGTAACAAACCTTCTTTGCCTCTCTTCAATGTTAAGATTTTCAGTTGAAACTGCCAGTTTTTGTGTTGCAGACCAGTTTTTAATTGAATTAAACAGAAATGGGATAATGCAGTTTCTTTAAGATCTTTCTTAAAAGCAAATTATGACGAAGAAGTTCTCTTCACATTTCCATGGCTAGAAGAAAGCGATGCAATATACTGACCCGTTACTTCACAGAAGAAATTCGTGTGTAACTAACGGTTCTAAGTAACCTTTTCAAATAGTAAAAGGTTTACTGTGCATTTAAAGGGTTTACCGAGCGCATTAAGGGCTTTACAAAGAACAAAGGTCACGCTATTAAGTAAATGAGGTCTGTTCCAAACATCTTGCTAAACTACCCAACTTTTACAGCACGATTCAAGCCCGACTTGCTTGCAAACGTTGCGCTGCGTCATAAGTCGTAATTTACTCGATTCCATTGAGTTTGGTGCGAAAGTAGCGAACATCTTAGACACTGTGGTGAATGACAAGCATCAATAGTGAGCTTTACATTGTTAAAACTCGCGATCAGTCTGCTACAATGTTCCCAGTATAGATAAATGAGACCGTACTTACTGCGCAGAAATAGAGTGAGAGAAAAAAAACCTTATCCCGTCTAACATTTCTCTTGTAATACACAAAGAAGATCACACAACCATCTGTCAGAAATCTTTCGATTTTGTTTTTAATTTTTCAGTACTTCTTTTAACGTAGAATACTTGTAAATATTTATTTCACTTCTAGCCTCGGGCAAGATAGGTTAGAATCTGATGTCGTTAAATTGCAAAACTGACATGTGTGTTTTGCCACTTGCCTAACCGGTTCAAATTTTCCGTTTGAAATGAATTGCTTTAAAAAAATGTTTATTTCCCTTTTACGATAACCATTTTCCCAGAGTAATCATATTAAATTGCCTCTCAATTTTTATAATCAAAAGGACGTCAATTAAAGAAGGATGATCGATCGGTAAAACTATACAGAACATATGCAACTGTCTTGTGATCACAACGTATTGTCGTTTACAGAAACATGGGAAGAAAAGACTGAATGATGGATTTCGTTAACAGTTGTTGAAAGTTTCAAGGCAGACAGAAAATTTTTCTTCGTTTTACCGCAATTAATTAAAAGTTGTTGGCCACATTATAGGCAATTTTGCCGCGAAATGTTTCCGCACGAGTTGAAAATCATCTGATAAGTGGCTTGTCAACTCGAAGAGCGAAGATCTCAACTCTTTTGAACTTGAATTAAAACAGGAAAAGTTTACATCGATTTCACATCTTAAGTTAACTTAAATTCGCCGTTTGTTATTTACAAAGTGGACTCCTAAGCGATTATTTGAGTCGTTTAAAGTGTAAGGCGTCTTTCAAATTTCTGTGCTCTCTCAACCGTGAAAACAGACGCCGTTCCAAAATTCGTTAAATCTTAAAGCCAACTGGAGGCAAACAGAGATGAAGCACTAGATAAACTTTTCATTTTTACAATACAACTAAAAAATTGTGATGCTTAGCAACTAATATATCGAGCCTGGTAATTCAAACTTGTTTACTGACCATAAATTGTGGCGGAAACGATGTAAAAAGTTTGTAGTTTTAAACATCTATTTATGTCTGCGAGACAGTCAATGGCCCGACGCGCCGCAACCACAAAATTAAATGTCGAAAATATTCCTCGATGGACGGGCAGAAAAATGAGCAACGACGTCTGCGCGAGCGGCAAAAAATGCCAACATTTTTACCCCAAACTAGAATGGCCTTTTGATTTCAAGACAAGTGATTTTACGGTGGATTTTTCCCGTTTCTTTTCTTTCGTTGTCTGCGGACTTTGACAAGTGAGGATGTAGCCTTCCTTCCTTTAGCATTTGTCTTGCTTTCATAATTCCCTAAAAAAGAAACATCAACCCTTTGTTACTATTTTCTAAAAGAGAAATCTAATAATCTGATAGTCTAGTAATCTTGTAACATCACTATTAATTTACCTCCGCATCTATTTTCGGATGGAGTAGCTCCAAAATCCCGGAGTTGCTCTCGCGAGGGATCGATAGATTGAAAGTTGAAAGCGTCGATATTTTCAAGTCCTTTTCCTCTCATTCTTAAGTTATATCTTGTTGTAACCCCCGTGGGATCAACAGATCTCTGATGACAAACACCTTCTGTTGCAGGTCCCGCTTCTGTTGTTGCAAGTAAAGGCGGGTTCATTTCTGTTGGCGACTTTCGCGTCTGGAGTCGGCCGTGAACTCGTTCCCACTTGTAGCGTCCATGAAGCGGTTTAAAATTTTCAAAGTCAAAATTCCACTTACGCTTTTTTTCTTCCGAGATGAGCTTCATCTCTCGCCTTAAATCCTCTTGAATCTGTTCATGATCTATAGTGCCGAAAAGATTTCTTTTCACTGCCATTTTCCCGCGACTCGAATCAACGTCAACAGTAATCCTGCTCATAGTACGAATGCTTAACTTTTTCAAATCGGGTGCAATACAATGTTACGCCTCTCTCTCCAGAATCCTTGAATTCACCTTTTTTTGTATCTGACAGCTTGCTATGACTTTATTACCCTTGATTCCATTCACCACAAATCATTTCTACGGCAACTGAGAGAAAAAATTTACGTAGTATATGTTGCGTAGTGATGGATGACAGCGTCCTCTGCTAAAATATCGAGAGCGTTTTCAACATACGCTCGATACCCTCAAGCTTGAATTCTTGTGTACCAACAAAGTTGAAGAACTTATGCATATACCACAATGGAAAAATTCTGAGGAACATTGATTAACTTGTACAGTTAAAATTCACCTGTACAGTTTGTTTTTATCGAAGCGAAACTCCCACGTAAATTTTCTTGAGCGTCTCTTTAATTTCGAAGCCCGCCACGCCGACACGCGAGCAAATTAGCTTTGGCATTCTCTGGACCAATGATCGCCTGTTACGTCATCAGTTGTATTTATATTAGGTGACACATTTGGCAGCTTTGGAACAAAGGAATCTTTGTTTTCAAGGTTTGTTTACAACGAGTTACGTCAAAATAGTCAAAAGAACAACGTTCAAATTGACTTTTTGAAGCTATTACCCGAAAATTATTATTTTTTAAAGGTTTTTTCAAGATCGGAAATGATTGTCGATTTTCAGGGCAGTTTAAACTCCGTAAAAACAGTTAAAAGTTTTGACGCCTTCTGATGAAGGATTTAGCGTCCTGTAACATGATATCGGCTTTTTCCAGATGGCTTCCTTCACTATTCTAAAATTTCGCAACAGTGCGTTCCGGGGGACTGTCCATCCACAGTTACTCAGAAATTTTCAAGACACTACTACTTGGGGCAAATTCGCGTCGTACAAAACTGCAAACGTCGGGAGCGAAGAAAGGGCTAGGAAGCACTAGGGTCCAAAGGGCGACAGCTTCCTCGCACGCTGGAGGAGCCAATGAATTCGAGAATTTTTCTTGCAGTCCTGCAGATGTGCATGGGCAGGTGAGAGAAAAGCCAATTAAAGCACGATCGACCAAAGACAAAAAGATGCTATCAGCCATGCAATATCAAATGTTAGTTTTTAAAATATTACCGCAAACGTAACGCAATCGTAGAAAAAAACCCTGACATACATACAAGTCATGGTGCAGAAAACAGTCGGGATTATTAACTTCTTTGCCGAAAAACCAGTTTATCTTCTCATGAAATGTTGATGAACTGTAACAGGAAAATAATTTTTTTTTGCGCACTCTCCATTATCCTCTATTTATTTTAAAAATTCAACAGGAAGAGGATGATATTTCGGTACAAAAGTTGAAAGAATGAGGGATGGTGAATTTTAAAAAGCGCGATGAAGCAAATTTTAAAGTGAAATAATCAGCTTGTAAAAAGTTTTTCGCCGAAAACATACTTGCACCTGACATTTAAGCGTTTGTTGAGAGACAAAGTTTGGTCTGTTGAAGCCTAGTTCTCTTAGAAGGATACTAAGCATTGAAAACGTGGATTTTCGCGAGCGAAGCACGCGAGGTTCACGCGCACTTCACGCGCGCGTTGTTGCTACATTTGACAATGCTTTTTTGCAGTCTGATTGCATGAGAACAGACGCATGGTTGGTAGATCAAACAAGAGGAAAGCACAGAAAACCTACTGTATTAGCCAACGATTGTGACCACAGCACACCCATGATTATTAAAACTGTGATCAAACATTCCAATATAATGCCCACGGACAATTCTCACCACTCTTTGCTACCAAACTTCGTTTGCCCTCATTGATTGTCATTGACAGGAGTAGATCTCAACCCATTCCCCGGGTTATCCCATGACTTTTTGGCTAGTGGCTGGGTTGGCATCTCGTATCCCAATCCTTAATTACGGTAAGTACACAAAACAACGTTTTTGACCGAGAAGGCCCTCGAACACGCATTACAAGGGACGGGGAACACAAAACCAGCACGCAGGCCAAGCAGACTAAAAACAAAACTGCCTTCCCTATCTCAGATCAACTTTTATATTAGAGCTTATACTGCATACGTCAGTTCTCCAACCCTGACCATATATCATGCGGAGGCTCGCAATCCTCAACGTGTGTTACAACCCAGTAAAAAACGTGTGAAAGGGTGTGAATGCTTAGGACACTTATTTACAACTCCTCCTTTCAGCGATTAAAAATGAGAATAGTTTGTATTGGTTCGGGGTTAACCATGGTCATAAAAAAGCAATTGAACATAGCGAAAAATGTGACGTCAAATCATACGACAGATCAAGAGGACCCAACGTTCTGATATTGTTACATGGCGAGAAAATTCTGCTGTGCTTCTTTGAGTATAACATACCGTAAACTGCCGCTTGCAAGCCCCCTCCGAATGTATTTAAATGAATTCGAATTATTTTCCCGCTTTGACGAAGAACGTTTTTTAAAAGCTCTCCCGTTTATATTAGAGTCTTTCTAAGCTCCCCCCCCCGGGGGGGGGGGTACTCCCTATAATGGATTATACGGGGAGGCTCCGTCAGGAAGGGATACCTTTTTCAGGCTCCAGGTATATGAAAGGGTAGGGATTTCACTAGTTTAGGTTATAAAAGGGTAATGAAATCTGACATTTCGCTCTGTAAAAAGTCCCAAAAGAGCTTACAGATGCATTTTATGGCTGCTAAAAAGTCGAGAAAACGTCCCAGGTTTTAAGATTTATTCATATTTAAAAGACTGAATTTACAGCAGTTAAAAGGGATGTAAAGATCTAGACTAGGTATGTGAAAGAGTTACCATTTGTGAATCAAAAGTATACGAAAGGGGTGACTTTTCCGTCGAAAATGGCATATAAAAATGTAAGGGATTGGACCGCGGGGCGGAGCCTACTGTATAAAGATTTGTTGAGTACCCCCGGGGCTAAAAGAAGCCCACGCAACGATAACCGGCAGTTTACGGTATCATGCCACTATAGATGAATATTTTGTTGCCTACTTATGACATCCAGTAGTTTTTGCTGATTGAAACACCAAATTTTTATTGTAGGACTTTTTGTCAAAGGCCACTCAATAACTGATCTTATCGAGGTGGCATGATAAATCTTACGATAACACCTGACCCCACATCAAGGCCACCTTGAATTCACGCTTTAAATATCACAATCAATCAAAAAATTCTCAAATACATTTTGTATATACAGTCTAAAGACGAGGAATCTCTCGTCAAACAAGCTTTTTTAATGTCATTCGACTCACACTGTAATGGCAAAAATAGCTTCCACTCTCATTTAATGAATATGTCAGAAGCTTAAGCTTTCTGACTTTAACCCTGATTTATTAGATATAGACATGGTAGAAGGCTATGTAAGTTCAATGAAACAGGAATATATCTCATATTGGCAAAACACCCTTCAACATTCTCAAAAACTTGAATTTTATGGATCTTTTAAAACCCATCATACCTCCTCTAGTTACTTAGACTTAAAGGGCAACTCTCGCGTAGGACAACATTTTTCAGAAAAACCTTGCAAATGTTTTTCTCATTGTAATACCATCAAGAAATATATCTTCAGCGACCTATTTGGCTGAGAAATCGAGATTCAAAGTGCTAAATTTGCCGCTTACTCGAACTTCCGCCATTAACGCTTCGATTTTGCCTATCACGTGACGTGACGTCACAGGTGTGGAACAACAGATGATCTCGAATATGGCTGACTGTAGTTCTTCAAGTGATAGCGCTACCTCTTTGTCCGATTATTCGGTTCTAGAAAAACTTTTAGAATGCGAAGTATAGGGCAGCCCTTCACGGAAATTCAACCCCGGCGTTTTGAGCCGCCTGGAAGATCGTCCGAAGCTGATGAAGTTCGTGCGTCGCCAGAAAACATCGAGCCTACCACTCGCCCGCTGCGATCTCGATAGTGAAGAATGGTGAGTGCCTAGATGGTTTTGAACAATTCTTGTGTACAGTGCGATCCGTAAATCGCTTGATTTCATCAATGCTATGAATGCTTCAAATTGTAAAAGGAAAAGGACTAATTAAACACGCATTTTTTTTTTGTATACTGAGCGTTTATAATTTTAGATCATTGTTTTCATATGTACAAGTAGTCGAAAGCGTACCTTCCCCATCTAACGACTACTGGAAATGATAATCTGGGCAAGTTGTCTCAGTGTAGTTTTTTTTTAAATTTCTGCTTTAATCCTGGTTTTACAAAAAGCAGTGATTCATATCGGAAGCAATAACTACGCTCTCGTAATTCGTTGACTGCAACGCAAATAAATTTCCATATCTTTGCCCCTTGACAGCCGCTCATGCTCGACTCGTGGAGTGCTTGCACTTTAAAATTTGTCTCTTTTGTTGTTATACAGATTGTTATGCATAATAACTAAAAGGCGCTGTACAGTTGTTTTCCTACAAGTCGTTCACTTACTTTTACTGTGTCTTGCTCTGTCAATGAATTTGGTTCAGAAGTTATTATTCTAGCTTCTGTGTATCCTGATGTTATTATTGAGACAATTTAAAGTTGGGATGAGATACACCTCCATACCCATGTGAACTAACTGCTTGCATAAAACGTTTCTACTCCCCAGTATATGATTTTCGAGGTTGGGACATGTCATATTCACTTAAGTTTTTGTCTGGAGCACAACAATGGTTATGTTAACTACAATAATATTGCATTTGATGAGATATAACTGCAGGAACTTGTATTATAATACACCCAGTATTGAAAACGTGTATATATTTGAAACTATTTTGTGGTTATGGGCAGGAGATAGTATGATGAAGCCATAAACGTTAAAGCGTGAATAAGCTCAAAATTGAAATAATATTCTCTGTCTTGACTTATAGCAGTTTTATAATTTTCTGGGTGCAGAATGAAAAGGTCAATATTCAACACTTGTTCTGTTGCCCTCCATTAACCGACGTTCAATATTTATGACTAAAGAAAATAACTACCGTGGTACTATTGGATGGGGGGAAAATATCTGCTTCCAAGAGGTGGCTGTTGTAAAACGTAAATATTTGGAGGCAGTTGAAGTTTAAAATATGGAGGAGCCACCTAGAGGAGCATAGTGGAACACCCAGGATTCCAGGCAGTTTGTCTGAATTACTGGGTGTTACGAGCTGCATGGCAATACAAGCAGCAGCATGGTGCCTCGGCATATGAAGAATCAGATCATAAAAAAAGCAGGCACATTGCCTACAGGCAATTGGTAAGGTGATACTGGGGCTCCCTTGGCAGGGACATAGGAGTTACATTACCGTCCTTGATTCCTGTGCAGTTAAGTGCATACGACCTCATTTCCAGGAGCCTGAAAGGTTGGAGGATGAGATGGAGTTCACAGGATTCCATTGTGCAGGGCCGAGTTGTTCAAAGCTGGGTTAAGATAACCCAGGGTTAGTGCGAGATTTGAATTAAGATTTGAAAGCTTAAAAAGCAATTCAGTTTCAATTCTTTTTGTCCACAAGTTGATGATTGGAAGCTCTAAAAATAAGAGAGAAAATTATCCGAGAAAATGCTTTTGAATACAAGAAAAAGAAACCAGGGTTAAATTTAACTCAGTGTTAAGCGCTAACCGGCCTTCGAACAACTGGGCCCAGATATAATATACCATGTATTGCAAATAACCCTACTGTATATAAAATATGATGCAATTTTCTCACTCACCACTGGAAGACTGGGCTAGAGCAACTTTGTTGCCATTAAAATGATTGCTACCCAGCAAACAATGTCAAAAATAACTGTTGGAACTAAAAAATCTATAAGACTACATGGTCTTTTAAAGTCCAATGGTGTCAGTGTGTGGGAAATACATAATTCTTCTCGACTACTTGCTCACAGCTTCTGAATAATAATGGCTGAATAGTGTTTGACTAATAACATGTCACCCTTTTTTTCCAGCAGGTGTGATTGTTAACTGGGAAATAATGTACAAGTTGAAACTTTATATCTTAATAATAAAATGGTATTTTATTGTTCATTGCTGTATATCTTTAGGTTATAATGGGAAATCCTCATTTTTAAATTAGAATTCACAAATGGATTGTTTCCATCTTGCATATTTTAATTGATAAGGCAATAATATTAAAGAAAACCGGTCACAGTTTAAGTGGACCATACAGTGCATGGTCATGTAAGTTATTGCAGTAGTGACCTAGCTTAGCCTAGACTACAAAGAATCAAGACATTGCAGGGCATTGTAGTCCTTCTTTAGTTGACAAGGCTGAAAAGATTTTATCTGTTAACGAAAGACAGGGGCACATCTAGGGGGAGAGTGCAGGGGGTGCGCACCCCCCCCCTGAGCTGACCTGCGGTTTTCTAATACAACTGGTATTCTGCCAAAAAAAAATACCATGTGGTTTATTGGTGTTGAAGTAGAGCAAGAGACGAGTGCACCCCCTCCTAAAAAAAATCCTGGATCCGCCCCTGAAAGAACCCATTGCCTCATCTCTGTTGGGCCTCTCTTTGGATGCAGCAAGTAGTGTAGGGGTATTCAGTTGCGGGTTCAACATGTAGTTTTTTAAAGCCCTTGAATTTTCTTAATAGCCAGCAAAGACCTTCAGTTCTAGTGCTTGAGCCATAACCTTCAATAAAAAGGTTCATACTGCAGGAAGCTTGCCTAGTTCTTTCTCCGTTTTCGCTACCGTTATGGATCGCATTTTTCTCCTTGGAATTTTCCAAAAGTACTGCGTCGGGGATTTAAAAACGGGTTAATAATTTCTTTTTTCCTTTCTTGTGAGAAGTCCCAAAGGAAAGTATTGCAAAAGAAGCGTGACACGCGTGGCTATCAAGGCAGCTTTATAGTGTTCGCGGGTAGGACGGGTACAAAGTACCACTAAAGATAATGAAGCAATCCTATGTTAATCAACTTTTTTTGAACTGTTTTCATTTCTTTCCATCCTTAAAAGGCCCATTACATGTAATTTTAGCGTGTGTGCAGGTTTTGCAATGGAATGACGCTACAATCTCGAGAGCACATCTCGAATAACTGCATTCAAAATGATGATCATAAAATCGCAATTTTCGGCGAGAAGTGAGTTTTATTTCGCGTGTTTAGAAGCAAAAGTAAATGGATGGAACCTGCAGATTTCACGCAAGAGAACAACACACTTAAGTGAGAACACAAAAGGCGGTATAGAATCAGGCCGGTACGGCGGTCTGTGACGGAGCTCTCTTCAAAGATGCGAGTATTTCCCGGGAAAAAATTAAGTCGTTTTCGAGGAATGAAGGGCATCAACACCCATCATGTAACATTAATGGTTGTATCAGAATTTTGAATCTGCTATAGGAAAGATGTTCTTTGTATTATACGTAGCAGATGAGGAGCTTAGCTGTTTTCAATTATTGACCTCGGGTCGATAAATGTCTCACGCGACTTCAAAAATACACTAACAAAAAAAATACAGAAAAAAATCTAAATCACCTGCATCTGATGCCCGTGTAAATTTAAACATTGGAACCATCATCGAAATGCTTTTCCTGAACGTTATTATGATAGTAGAGGCTCTATTTCTCCTTTATTTGCAAGAGAAATTTGGTGCGTTTTTCTCTTGTAATCTTCACTTGGCAATCCGTGTTCCACACGTGTGACGTAAAATCACGTGACTAACCTGAAATCCGAATGTTTTCAAAATGGCGGCAAAAATCGAGTTTTCGAAAAATTATTAAAAAATAAGTTTCGCAGATATATCCGAAATTTCACCAAAGAGAGACATTACATGCCATTAGGAAACCATAGAGAACTTAAAAAACAGGGGTAATTTTCCCGAGAGTTGCCCTTTAACAAAAGGAACAGCTGGGAGAAGGGCTTTAGTAAAACTACGAATAAGCAATCACAAACTAATGATAGAAATAGGCAGATACAATCAAACTACGAAGGATAATAGGCATTGCTCTTTTTGTGGATGCAGTGCAATAGAAGACGAAGTTCACTTTCTTTTTTAATGTCCTACATACTCTATGATTAGGAACAAATTTTACTATTAAGTCAAGACTCTGATTCCAAATATTACCCACTTAGCTATAAACGTTTTATGATGAACTCTTCTAATTACTTTATCAATATACAATTCATAAAATAAATTTCAGCTTGTGTTGATGTTCGTGACAAATTATTATCAAAATAACGTAATTGCCCTGTGTTGAAATTTTGATTCCTAAACATAGCTTTGTAATACTGTATGTGTTTGTATGGTCATGCAAATAAAGCTCGTTGTTGTTGTTGCACGCTCTTTTGAGTGTCATCAGTGTTGTGTAGGTTTGGCTTCAGTGTCAAAGAATTTCAGCGAAATGAACTCTGAATTGCGCTCTTCTTTTTTATTTTTTCCCACAAGAAATTACTCGTCTCTGAATAAGAGTTAGGCCAAGACGCCGGAGGCTAATTGAGGCCTTCTCGTAAAGGCCCGCCACTGGTCTCGCAGCGGCAACGAAGGAAACAGAAAAAAGAGGGACAGCCAAACCGATAGTTAAAAAAGCAAGATCCTCCCCTAAAATGGAGAAAACAGATAGGGTGGTCTCGTGTAGACTATACATTCTAACTAAAACGGCGAAAAAAGGCAAAACACAAGAGCGATTAGGTAAACATTTTTGTCGCTCTAAACAATAATACATGTTATACATCGCACACTGAAGTTTGTTTGTGATAGTAATATTGTTGTTCTGTCGAAATTTTTAACATTGCTGTCGATAATTTATGACAACAAAAAAATTAGTGTAAGTATTTTCAAGCTACAATCCTTTTCTTACTCTGCGTCGTTCACGTAGTTAGACCGTCTGTGGCGCATGCTATCCTTGTCAAGATAAATTGGTTTCTCAAGACAGACGGAAATAGTTTCACTGTATCATTGTAGTATAACGTTTTTTTTGAAACCTGGAACATTTACTATCTTTTCATTGCCGCGCAAATTTTCCGCGCTGTAAAATATATAATCTAGGCTTTTTTTTTTCATATTACTCGTAATTGGTATAAGTATTCATAACAAAAAATATTCCTGGTTTTTTTACCAATGACGTTTTTACGTTATAGCAGGGTGGTAAAATGGGCAGCAAAAATGTAACTTGTTTTGCAACATTGCTGCAAAACGAATTCCATAGGTATGTTTCCCGTTTTACCACACAAACCTGTCCAGCAACAAATCAGGTTGCTGCACGTTGCGAAAAATTGTTGCAGAATGTGGAGAGTAGTTATACTTTTTGCAACAAACTGTGTATATGTTTAAGACAAACTGGTTTTGCAATAAGTGACGTAACTCCCGTGCATGACGTGACTCCCGCGTAAGTTTATCCAATCAGAAGTCAGAATTCACGCAACTTGCAAATCAGGTTTGAACTTGGGTGGTAAACGGCGTAACTAAGCTTTTCAACTCGTTTTGCGGTAATGTTGCAAAAAAAGTTGCACGTTTTTGTCGCTCGTTTTACCGTGGCTTAAAGGTTTATGCTTCAGCGTGACTTATCCGAGGTTGGTGTTCTGGGTGGCGTTGCTGTAATGACACAGCGATGTCAGCCATTTGTTTCCAGTCACTGTAAGTCAGGGACGGCGTGGACACAACGTGTGGAATATATTTTTGAATCCGATCCAAAATAGGATGTGCTATATCGGCACCCTGAACCAATCCCAGCGTTTCTTTTTCATAATATAATGGTGTGCCCCTCAACAACATCAGAGGAAAGGCGACCAGCGACCCATCTGTGATCTCCTGAAGATGATGAATCGTTCTTTGAAAGCTTTCTACAGTCTGTAAGGGCAATCCAAAAATGAGACTGATTTCGTGGTTAATTTTTCGCTTCTGAACGAGCGCTAGTTTCTCTAAAACTTTATTGGCTAAGCTGTGAGGATTGGCATTCTTCACGCGTTCTATGTGCACAAGTTCTGCTGGATCAAGCGTCTGAACGCCAAACTCTAAAATAACATCAGCTCCAGTAGTTTTACTCAGCGATTCCACCTGATCTAAAAATGCAGGAGTCACTCGCTCCGGACGGCACTGAAAACTTATTTTCCCCGAAAACCCAAGGCGCTCTAAAAAATCCAGAACGGTGTATCCGTTTGTGGTGTTGAAAGTCGGGTCCAGTACTGCTACATCTTTCACACCGTTCTCAACAAACCACTCTATTTCTGAGAGGATTCGATCTTTTTGCGCGTGTTGAATTTTCGTCCAGCTTTTGTTTGATGATCGCCACGAAGCTGGGTCTCTGTGCTGGCAAAACGAACAGCTGTAGGGACAGCCTCGTGTTGTTTCCCAGCGCATGAAGGGCTGTGGCTTCAGTGTGCCATCTAAGAAAGGCGATGGGAGCTGGGCTATAGTGGTGGCTGTGTGAAGACCCCTGTTGAAACACGGAAAATAATGTAAATGATCTTATAGATTCCCTCTCTCAAATAAACGCCCCCCCCCCCAAGATTTTAAGTTTGTACTTATTAGACTCCCCCCACCCCCATAATAAACGCCCCTTGTTTAATACAAGCCCCATCCCCTCTTTTAAACGCCCCCTTTTTATATACAACTCTTCTCTTAGGCTCCTAAAATTAATAGACGCCCCGAACGTCTCTTAGTAGCCTGCGAAAACAGCCGTCTCATGTTGCTCCTCGCCGCTACGGACGTACGTTTCGCCAGGAGGCCGGGAGACCGGCGGAGTTAGCGGAAAGGGACGAGGAAAGACAGGTGTTTTCGCAGCCTAGTATATTAGACCAGCGGTACTGTTCATTCATCTGAAATCTTCGCCGTTTTTTCTTAAACTTTCCTACTATTTTCGGAAGTTAAGATATTCAAAATTTCACTCTATAGATTAAACTATTATTCATAAGAAAGGACCGCTCCCCTAAAATTGATAAAAGTTTTGATTACTGAAGAGTGACCGAAAGAGCGTCATCTCACGATTCTATAAACCAAGAGCCACCAGTTCCATTATGTCTCTTGCATAAATAAACTCATAAAAAGCATATAAATTTTTTGCGGAAAAAACGTGAAAGCCTTACCATTTTCGGTTTCGTAAATAATGACAGAAATGGGTATAACATCTCGATTTCGTAAACGTATAAATATAAACATCTTAGCTTTTCAGGAAAAATAAGTACGAAAGAGCTTACAATTCGAAAAGTATGCTCTAGGACGGCCGAAGACCGAAAAGTTAACAGTTTTCTAGCACCGTTTAGTACTTTAAAAGCACTCCAGGCAGCCTAAAACAGTTCTTAAATGTATTTGGGAGAACTAAAGTTATCGTTAGGTGTCCTTGTTTATTGTACACTACTAGCATAACATCTCTTCGTTACCTGTCAGATGCGCCAGCAAAGTGAACTCCTAAAACATCTTCCTTCCCTTCTGCTAATTCTGCCACGGCTATCTCCGCATATCCTCGAATAAAAGCATCCACCTCAGGGTAATAGCTTTCAAGCTGGCCTTTTTCGACGTACGACACCTGAGGACCAGCCATAACAATGCGCCCTCGATAACGATACTTTTTCAGCTCTTGCAGAATAGTTTTGAGAAAGGGTTCGTTCCAGACGAAACCTCCAAACATAAGATCGTACTTCGGATCGTCGTATCGACTCCATACCGTATCGAGGATTTTCCTTGCTAAAGGAGAAATCTGTGTTTCTTCCGCAATATTGTAAGTATGCGCTGCGAATTCGATCTTCTTCTGCTTTAAATAGCTGATGATGCTGGCTACCCCCAAAGACAGTGGAGGATCTTTGGGGCGAATATGGTCCAAGCTGATAAGTATTGGGAGTTTACTTCGAAACATCTAAAACTTCCGTATCCGATTATAACCACAAAAATTACCTCATCAGCGACAAAATCAAATCACCTGTGCAATGCTGTCGTTGTCAAAAAGTTGAATTTATTCTTAGAACTTTCTTCTGTTTTGTCTACGGTTCCGAGAAACCACGAATAAATTAGCATAATTATTATACTACCAAACGAACCAATCAAACGTTCAATTTCTTGGATTTCGGCAGTTTGCTATTCCTCTTTGTGGATGGATGTAGAATGACAGGTGTCAAATCACTGAAGGTCATGTGACAAGGGCATAGACGACCCGAACTCACTTTACGAACAAAGAATGTTCACTTAAAACTTAAGAGCTAATATTTTCAAAGAACAAACTCATTAAGATACTGTGACCAATTGCAAAGCTTCAAATTAAATGAGATTATTAACAAGCTACAATTTGGGCCCTGTGTGGTTTATTTACCAATTTATAATTCAATTTAGAAAGAAAGGTCTTTAGTCAGCTGTTTAGTAGCACTTTCACATCAGTCTATTAGTTTTTCAGTATCTACACCTTATAACTGTGAAAAGGAAAAAAAAAATTTTAATTTTTTCCTGAATATTGGTAGTCTTAACACTAGAGCCTAAATAAGCTAAGAAATCTTTCAAGAAAAGTAAATTTTAATTATTACTACAAGTAAAATAAAGCTTCACACACAACCGATTCTTTTTTGCTTAAGGTTAACTTAAGGCTATTTTCCCACCTAACATAATTAATATTGATTGGCATGTTTTGCCTTTCTAAAACCTCAAGAAACGGCAAGTAACCGCAAGTCAGCTAAGTCGGTTTTAAGGATGGTTTTCAAGTCGCTTGAAACTTTCTTGAATCGTCTCAACTTTCCGACTTTAATGAGATGCAAAGTAAAGTTACGTGAGGCCTTCACACACGAATTTTTGGTTAAGTAAAACTTAGCAGCTCTTAAGTCTTACTTAACAGCCTAGTGTAAAGACAAGCATTGTCTTCTAAGTGAAAAACTGTCAGAGACTTGCCAGTCCATACTAAAACGATAGGAATTTTGGAGCCGTCAAAACAATACTTAAAGCATCTTACCAACATAACAGCAGTTGTTCAAGGACATCATTGACACATTCAAGTTTATTTCAAACTGTCTTCCATCTCTGCCAGTGTTCTGAATTATGAATGTTCCACACCTTGGAAAACTCCTCACTTGTTGTGTCAACCATAACAAACTTCAAAAATTTGGCAGCAAATTCTGCAGTTGCCATTTTCCCTTCCTTTTGAACCTGGTCAAAGTATGAGACATGTGGCAGTTTATGTTGCTTTGCTAGCCTGATATGCTCCCACAAGCCCTCAGTGTCTACAACTCCAGGACGGACATCCGCAATCTGGACTTGAGTTCCTTTGAATTCTATCACAAGTTGTTCATACAACCGTTGAAATGCCATTTTTGTGATGCCATATGTTATGGTCCCTAGCTGTGGCATTGTGGCGACACCAGTCCCAAGATGGATAACTCTTCCTTGGCATGTGTTGAGCCTTGGAAAGAATCCCTTCGCCAGCATAAGGGGTGCTGTGACATTAACAGCAAATGCATATTCAAAATCATCACGCTGGATGTCTAGAAGGCGAGAGGGAACCCCAACAGCAGCATTTTGCACGAGATATTTAACAGAATCACTTTCAGGAATAAAATCCAATATTTTCTTCTGCCCTTCGCCTGTTGCTATGTCAACAGCCAGAGTATGGATATTGCCTGGAGCATGCTGCTGAGTTTCTTGTAAAGCCTCAAGTCTACGTCCTATAGCAAGGACATGTATATCATGCTGCGCCAATTCTTTGGTGAGTGCTGCACCAATTCCTGATCCTGCTCCAGTTATAACAGCCCAGCTTCTCATCTTCCTGAAACAGAAAAAATACAGTTGATACAAGAACATAATTATGGGATTGGCTGATAATTTATAAAACTTCATCAAAAACCAGCCACTATCTGATAAGACTATAATGAGAGGTAAAATTGTTGACAGAACATAGCAAAATGAGCAGAATGACTGCAAAATATTTTGTAACCCACAACTATCATATTGCTGGTTTTCACTGTTACACCATCAAAACTTAAACCAAAACCGTGGAATGTCTGAGGCCAAGAATTTCAGATATTATAGATTATCGATAAATTAACAACCTAGCCAAGTCTCACATCTATGCAATTTTCCGCTGCTGAGTTGTTCTTCAAAATGTGTAACAGAAATTTATAGCGCTCACTATGGGGACGCCATATTTGTGCTCCAGAGGAGCACAAATTAGTGGCTGGAAATAATGCAAACATCTGGTATTAGTATCGCCATAAATTTGATCATTGTTCACAGAGAACAAGCAAATTATTTTGTAAACACATTTTTACTACTTTCACCATTCAAAGGGCATAATATCATTCGATAAATTATTTTTTAGCATATGTGACGGCCTTTTCTGTGGCCATATTAGTGTCACACAGAGTAAACTTGGAAAATTAGGAAGAGCTACATTTTCGAAATGGAAAATGCTATCTTGTTGAAAACTTACACAGAAGTTTATTTTTAAGCAATCTTTTGTGAGATGGAGATAAAACCTTAAAAGTTCTTGCAATTTTGGAGTTTGGATTTTTGTGACGTCACTTGAAAACCAAGAATTGTGGAGGCATGTGTGGCGGAGTGGTTAACAAGCCTTGCCCGTTGTGTTGCTTCCTTAGACATGGAACTTTACTCCACTTTGTCTCTCCTCGCTCAGGTGTATAAATGGGTAGTGGTGACATACTGTCACGGGGTAACCCTGGGATGGACTAGAATCCTGTCCAGGGGAGAGTACCAATTGATGGTTTTCACGGTGACGTCATCAGATTGCAAAGTCAAAAAAGCGAGGTTTTACGAATTCTTATTTACACCAGGTTGAAGATTAATAGGAAATAAATCTTTGTACAAGTTTCCAGCCCCGAAGCATGTTTCATTTCGAAAATACAGCAGTTTGAACTTCCGAGTTTTCACAGTGCGTGACAACAAAATAGGAATGCTATCTCCTTGAAAAAAGTCTCTCCGCTTGATTTTCAGCAGTTTAACCATTTCAAGTATTAGAAGATATGTTTATGCGCAAGTATACTAGTTCTCGAGCGAAAAGGAGGAGCTTTTATAGAAAAAGTGAACTCCAGATGTTTTTGTTGATTTCCGGCGGCCATATTGGTGGACAGTTATGGCGTCTCCATACAAAAGCTCTACAAAGGTGCGTGAAATGTTTCGGCAACTAACTCAGAAACTGTGGGCCACAAAGACCTGAGAATTGGACAAGTAGTTTATATATTAGTCTTTTATAACATTTCATTTTCTTGGCTTCTTCCACGGGACGGTTTCAAATGTATTTTTTTGTGCCGTGTTTATTGCGTGACAGTGAAAACGAAGAATACTCCTAGGGATGCTTCATGCTAAGGAAACCAGCATAAGCTCATGCCATTTGGGCCTTTGGCTCATTCGAGCTTTTACCTTTTTACTACCATACTAATACAAAGTAATATCACCCACGCTTACCAAACCAACCCTTCCCCACAAAGTACATTTTGCCAACATCACCTTCATACCTTCATATTGTAAAAAAGAAAGCCCCCCCAACCCCGACCATTGGCAGCAAATCCTGATATTTCTAAACAGAAAGTGACTAGCTCTTTATACACGGTCATGGACGGCGCTAGTTGGGTTTATCCTCAAATGGTGCTGGATCAAGGGTGTTGCATAACAAAATGGCTGCAAATTTTCTCCTGGCTACCACACGACTTTAAGTGAGGGACTTAAGTCTGCTCAGCCATTAAAACTATATCATGTGTTAAACATGAACATTATGGAACAAAGAAGGCTCCAAGTTTCGCTTAGGGACATGCCGATATATTTCGCTGTAATGAGCCCCGCTAAAAAATAGGAGGTGATCAGCCATAGGTCTAGTGAAGTTAGAAATATATTTAGCAAACTCACTCAGTCTCTCAAGAGGTAATAACAATAGTTATCCTGGTTATGGCAGAAGTGAAGTATTAATAAGTACCTACCTTTCGTAAGGTTTTTTTTCTACGAAAGCTGCTCAACGCCACTCACAACCGCGCACACTTCGGGACTTTCCGAGCGAAATAAGTGTCACCTCCAGACCCCTAAGTCACTGTAATCTTTGCGTGACGACTTGCGTGACAACAAAGTGTGACTGATTTTGCATTTAGAATAAAATCCATCTTGCTGTGATTCTGAAGAGAAACCATTATATAAGCGGAACTAAAAACTGCAAATCTCTATTTTAAAGATTCTTGCGAACTAAAAACGGTTTGAGACCTTTATTATTATTATTATTATATTATGCCTTTCTTTCGCTATTTATGCATTAAATTGCGGAGGAAATATTCATAAAGTATATTTAGTGATCATTATAAAAAGAAATTCGTCAAATTTTCTTGTCCTTCTGAGTATTAACAAAACAACAAGGGAAACATAAACATTACCGTAGTGTAGCTAAACTTTTGCGGACAAGTATAATAATATTTCTTGATATTAATTAAACCAAATTCAACAATAGTATAAGAGTATCTAAAACTTTTTAAGGTCAATGTTGGTAAATTAAATAATTCCATTTACAATCCAGAATTCCAAGTCGTATTTACAGTTGCATCAAACGCACAAATAATCCGCAAATTGCTCATTTCCTGTAGGGTTTGACCCAGTGATGATGACTGTACAGTACTTAATTATTCAACTGTTCAATTCATCCATATTCGTCGAGTTTAAGGACATCACGAGGTCACGGCGAGGGCTGTGGATATTAACGGTTTACAAATCCGAAAACATATAAGAGAAGAAAATATTGGACTTGAATCAATGCTAGTTAATACCATTCCCGTTCCACAAGTTTGAGCAAATGAAATAATGCCATTTATGAACTTGACAGAATTAACAGTCACGGGAAGGTTTTTGCAGGTGTTTTGAAGCCTTCCGTGGGTTTTTCTGGCGATTTTTCAGTTTCGATTTCCTGACTTTTCGTCTCTCTACTACCACAGCTGGCTCCTGTGGTTTGTTGTTCTTGTTTTGAAGGCTCAACCGCTTCCCATTCGAATCTGCCTCCTTCTAACGGTTCTCCTCTCTGAAAATCGAAATTATATTTTTCGTTCATCTCTTGTACGTCTTTGTTCAATTCCTTCTTCAAATCGGCTTCAAGTTGTTGATGATCGAGCCGACCAAATAGACATCTCTTCGCTTTGCTTGACTCGGGATTCATCAGGATTTTCCTAGATATTCAAAACTAAAAAATGTTCTTCTCGTTTCCTTGTCTTAATGTATATTCCCGCCGGCTGTTACATGCACAGACTTTTAAACATAGCCAAGCGCGGCAAAGTGTATGCTTGCGTCACTACGTCATCGGCAGGTATACATCACGCGATATCTGCACTTCGCGCCCAGGCAAGTATGAACTTGTTGACCCGTCATTAAAAAGGAACATTCTAACGTTTGAAAAGTGAAAGAAGAAACCATGCATTAGGGAAACAGTACTTTCAATATTGTTTGTTGTTCGCGGTGTTGTTCTTGCTACGGGTTTTTTTTTTTTTTTCATAATTCTAAGAAAAGGGGATTTTTTTATCCGTTAATCACCAAAACCGTTAAGTCAAACATCGAAAAACACGAATTCCCAAAATGAGTTAATTCACCCAGAACTTGTTGGACTGTAATCGCACGCTTCATTTGAATAAGATCAGAAAATTCTTTCATCGTCTAATTACTAAACAGAAAAAGTGACGGTAGTCGGAGTACCTTAACTTCAAGGGGGTGATGTCTTAAACTAAGAAAAATACTGTAGTGCAGAATTAAAGATTTAAAATGCACAACTTGAGTCTTGTACTTGAAAAATCAGAGTTAATGAAGTCCCTCTAAGCGTGAGAAAATATTGTTAGAAGAAAACATCGTATAGTACGAGACATCTCAATACAAGGAGCGGAAGAGGCCAAAAGGCGGCGTAATAACCTCACTCAAGTGTAGAATGGGCGGGATTTTTACCCCCCAAATTTATTATTTCCACTGAGTTATTGGCCAGATTTTTACTGAAAACAACTATTAAGATGAAGTTATTCTTTCCTTTTATGATTAAGAGATTTATCTTCATACTATGAGCAATCCAGTTACAAGGGCTTCTAGCCTTGAGTACAAAGTTAGCGACTTATTTTCAAGATCTGGCTGTCCCCGGTCAGCAAGTCCATTTGCTCTAACATTAATCCGGTAGGTGAATACATAAAACGGGTCAATTTTGTCTGTCTATATTTAGAAAGAAAAAAGTTCTTACGTCAGTAAATCCCTGCAGTTAGTCTAGGGCAGGCTTAAACTTGTGACTAGCCTTTACTAATAAGGATGCAATGAAAAGGCATGGAAAATATTAGCCCACGTATGGCAATATTACTGCATCAGGTCTAAATTTTTTGCTGATCTGGACTGTAATCAAGAGATCCTCTTTTAACTGTAATGGATTTAAGTCACAAATTCCAAAACTGAGCTGCCTATTTTTCTTTTGGGGCAAGTTTGAACGCATTCTTTCCTCCTACCCAACCCCCCGACCCCGCGTCACGATGTCATGAAAACTTTTCTTTTGGGAGACTGGGAACGACCGAAAGAAAACTTCAAAATATGGCGGCAAGGAAACTGCAAACAGTATACTAGGTTTTTTCTCAGTTTTTAAGCTTTGATTAGGAATTCAGAAACTTTCTTACGAACTTCTTGACTAATCCACGTGTAGGCTATCAATTTACGATTACAATGCAATGAGGAAATCGTGAGTATTTGCTACTTAAAAGACTACCATAGTCTTATTCAGTGAGTTCGCTGATGAAGAAATTAAGTAGTAACTCTTTAAGTTGATTAAACTTTTTCTCTCCGTCTTGACGACAGGGGTGATCCATTCGAAGTTGAGCCATTTCCAAAGACATTTTATTACCCTTCACAGCAAAGAGAGTTGTCCGAAGGCCAGAGAAAGGTATTGCCCTCGCCATTATTCCATGTTCATCTTGCATTGCATGGCTGAGTCGAGGTTCTCGATCGTTCGCGTTCGCGCTAAATTGAAGAAAATTCGCACGTACGTCTGAAATCAATATTCGTGCAAAGAAATAGTAAATAACGTGAGAAAGGTAGATGTTTTTAGGAAAACTAATTTATTCATTCAATAAAGTCGGCCATTTGTTCAGCTTGTAAAAATTTAATTTAAAGCTTGATTTCAGTTAGATCTCGTCAGCTACCTTGGCGTTGCACATCAGCAAATAGATCGCATGAAACAAATATTTGGACATTTCTTCAGTACTATATAAGAACCAAGTATATTTATAAGCATTTTAGCTAAAGAATATTTTCTAAGGTGAGTTGTCTTCAGTATTCTATATAAAACTCGCCCGTGAAACGTATTTTTCGAATAAGGTGTAAAAATCTCTCAGGCTATGATTGGTCGTCATTTTCTGGTCAGGATTTTCTACAAGTTTGCATCGGGCATTTTATCAGCTGACAAACAGCTGACAAGTTTGTTGAATGATGCTTTTTGTATTTGTTGTCATTTTTCCACAGATCTGCCTCAGCCCTGGTCGCAAAAAAGAAGATCTGGTTATAAGTCCTGCTGATGAGAAATTCCTTCAAAAAACCAATGATATGAAAATTCATGAAATACCAACAAGAGAGAATGGAACAACAGATCCGGATCATTCCTCGTCCTCCAAGTTTGACGAATCCTGGCCCAGTACTGAGAGAGCAATGGTATCTACTCCTGAAGCTGAGATTAATATCTCAGAGATGTCAAAGACTCCCTCAAGTACAGGAAGCGATCTCTTGCTCCGTCCACTCCCTGATTCTACTTTAGCAAGGTTGGTGTTGTGATTCACTGAAGGCCCTGTCTCATGCTGTGATCACAGCACTAAGAACCTGTTTGTGAATTCATCTATCTCTCCTCACTCCTCACTGCTAGTGATGTTCATGGGGGAGACATTTGTGATTCACCCCTAAAAACTACTTACTGTTGACAAAGATTTGTCAGGAATCTGGTTAACGAATGACAGACAAAAGGCAAAAGATTACAAAAGTGAAATTAACATACAAACACAACAAAATCTTCTAAAAAACAGTTATTATTTTGGACTGTACAGTGTATTCCTCTTAATTTGAGTTTTGTTGTCGGTGGTTCACAGAACTCAAAACTTTATGACCACATACTAGGAGAAACTTAAACTAAAATAAATTTTCAGCTGGAACTCTATGACTACCATTAATTGTTAATTACAGCATGTCTCTCCCTCGAAATGTCCCCAGCAGAGAGGAGTGAGGAGCGACTGCGGTATTTCCAGGCTAGAACCTCCAAGGAAGTAAAAATCATTGGCAGCTACAGTCAACTCCCTTTATAGCGGACCCGGTGCCGGTGGGGACCTTGAGTTAGTGTCCCCAATAGCAAGTGTCTGTAATAACCGGAGTTTATTTCAGTCAAACATCTGTAATTTATTTTTTCCTGGGATTTAGCTGCTGTCTGTATTATCGTTATGGCAGGGTGTCTGCAAGGCAAGAGTTCACTGTACTACCCTTGCTGTCTATTTCCAGGCAGCACTTGACTTCGAACCAACTGATATGCAAGAAACTAAGTTATAGTGTTTGGATTTCAATACTTCAGAGATGTGAACTCTTTAAAATTTTCTTGGAGCACAGCCTTATACCCTTAACTTTTTTCTAGGTACATACATCGCTTTCGCAATGCACCTCCTTCCAGTCGACAAGCTAGAGACAGGCAGTACACTGACAGTGGAAAAGGAGGTGAATTTTGGTGGTTATCAGAGCCCTCCCCTCCCACCAGCTCAACACCCAAGGAAGGGACCCCTCCTGAGCGGCTCTTAGGCCCATCCCCACGTCCTAGTCTCTCGCCAAAGCAGAAGAGGGCTGCAGCCAGGAGGGGTAAAGCTACAGTTTCTCCAATATCAGTGAGTATCATCAGGATATTAGACAAGCCAAGTTGTATTTTATGTACCATTTTCCTGTCTATTTAACATCCTGTCTTTACATTTTTATTTTAGGCATTGCAAAGTGGTTCCTCACCTTCCAAGTCATCTCTTGATGGTTTGGACCCCAAAACTGCAGATTTACAACAACGGGCCCAAACTCTGCTTGAAAAGAGGTGATATTGAAGTATACTTCATTCTGTCTTTAGTTTAAGCATTGTTGTGCCATTTTTTAACTAAATCGTACATTATCAATGTTGTAGCGAGAGCACTCTGGAGACTTCGTCCAGTGAGGTTTACAGACCCACAAGAAAACCAAAGCAGGGTCCTCTTACGAATAGGACTTGCACAGAAGTACCACCTCAGCATGAACTCCCTGGAACTTCCATGAGCCGCCAGTCAAGGCCACTGCAACCTCGCCCTGTGCCTCCCCCTGAGGAAGATATTTTGTATCAGTGGAGACTGGCAAGGAAAATGGAGAGGGCTCAAGACAAGGTTTTGAAATGGGGGCCCACTTGGAGCTCCACATTGCACAGTCAACCCAACATAGCATCACAGTCTACCCAGCCACACATTTTGTCTGGTGCAGATAGAGTCCCACCTACATTTTCCCAGATAGGTGTTGCTTACCAAAGACCAGAACTGCAATTACCAGCTCACCCAGTTGCTTCTAGAATGCCAGTAAGTGCCACAAGTGCACCAACCAAGACGCAAACAACTGTTGCTGCCGGTGGGGTAATTATGACTGACAATGAAGTGTCTCCAGTGGTTTCTTCTCCATCTGCAGTCACTACAATGGCACAAGCTCCCACATCAAGTGGTGAGGTTCCTTTGGGTATCATAGCAACCTCAAGTGGGATCCATGATAGAATGCCAAGCAGGGAACAGTCACGTGTTGTAGCTGTAGACAGGACAGAAGACTTGGAACAGGTACAAGAACCTGTTAGAATGGAGCGGGAACAGTTTGTATTAGCAGATGTGCCATCTCATATGCATCTCTCATGTGACATTTTACCATGTCCTCATCAAAAAAGTCTAATTGAAAAAGGAAGTTCTGATTGTAGAATCCCTTTAAGTTCTCCAGTAATTGACTCGTGGGCAGAAGAATTACACACTCAGGTGAGAGATACTAACAGAGGACACGAAAAAGAAAGCTCAAAGACTAAGGAATCACGTGATGACAGGGAAAATTTTGGCCCACCAAGAGCTAGACAAGGTCTTGGGGACCAAACGAGTCATAGAAAAGTTGAACCACCCAAATTACCTGGCAAAAGATCTACATCACCAGAGATTACTGAACAAGAGAAACACAGAAGAAGAGAAGCTGGAAGGGAGAGGCCAAAAGCAAAGAGTGAGACCTCTCTAGGGCCTGGTCCTTCTGATGTGTTACATGCTGTTATTGGACAGGTAGGCTGTTTTGCTTACTGTAGATAACAATTCAAGGTCTGTCTCTGTCCTGCACAGGTTTAATTGGGCCCTGCCTACAAACTGGCTCAGCGGATTCTCCCTGTTGTCTGGGTGTCCTGTTGTCCTTGTTGTTGATGTTGTAACTGTTGTCCTTGTTGTTGCTATTGTTTTTTTTTGTCCTAGTTGTCCTGGTTGTTCCGGTTGTCCTGGTCGTTCCAGTTGTCCTGGTTGTTCCGGTTGTCCCGGTTGTCCTGATTGTCCTTGTTGTTCCGGTTGTCATTGTTGTCCCTGTTGTCCTGGTTGTCCCAGTTGTCCTAGTTGTTCCGGTTGTCCCAGTTGTCTCAGTTGTCCGGGGTGTCCCGGTTGTCCTGGTTGTCCTGGTTGTCCTGGTTGTCCTGGTTGTCCTGGTTGGTTGTCCCGGTTGTCCTGGTTGTCCTGGTTGTCCTGGTTGGTTGTCCTGGTTGTCCTGGTTGTCCTGGTTGGTTGTCCCGGTTGTCCTGGTTGTCCCGGTTGTCCTGGTTGTCCCGGTTGTCCTGGTTGTCCTGGTTGTCCTGGTTGTCCTGGTTGGTTGTCCTGGTTGTCCTGGTTGTCCTGGTTGGTTGTCCCGTCTGGTTGTCCTGGTTGTCCTGGTTGTCCTGGTTGTCCTGGTTGTCCTGGTTGTCCTGGTTGTCCTGGTTGTCCTGGTTGTCCTGGTTGTCCTGGTTGTCCTGGTTGGTTGTCCCGGTCCTGGTTGTCCTGGTCCTGGTTGTCCTGGTTGTCCTGGTTGTCCTGGTTGGTTGTCCCGGTTGTCCTGGTTGTCCCGGTTGTCCTGGTTGTCCTGGTTGTCCTGGTTGTCCTGGTTGTGGTTGTCCTGGTTGTCCTGGTTGTCCTGGTTGTCCTGGTTGTCCTGGTTGTCCTGGTTGTCCTGGTTGGTTGTCCTGGTTGTCCCAGTTCTCCTTGTTGTCCTGGTGGTTCCGGTTGTCCTGTTGTTCTTGTTGTCCCTGTTATCTCTCGTGGCAAAAGGTGGGGGCAGGAATTATTTACGCTTTCTCTGAAAAGACAGGACTTTCAATACAGGGTTGTTTAGGATTTGTGTCAGGCACTTGATCATTCCAATCCCTGAAAAAGTCATACCTCTTTGTACGATTTACAATACATCCTTGATCGGTTTTGTAATGTTTTTCACAGGTTGTGTCAGAACGCCTTTTTTGCACAAGTACTCCTCATTCATCCACCAGTAGTTTGAGCGGAAGCGAGGAGTTCCCTCAAAAGACTGTAAGAGAACCCGAAAAATCATACCATATTCATGGTAAGGCTGATCGAACTTAACAAGTGTCAACTCATCAAGGAAGTCTGTAGGAGCGAGGTTTCGTAATTTGATGTACAAAATGTGTTGTAGTAGAGCGTTTATACCGCAAAAATTTTAATTGTATCTTCAGCTTTTTTCTCTTTTTCATGCCGGGGCGTCTGTAACACCACTGGCCTCAAAACATTGTGATGTCCTTAATCGCGGCGTCTCTGTAATCCCGCTCGCGATGTTGGAAAAGTACTTAGGACTACCGTGGTGTGTGTTGTCATGTGTTCATAATAGCGGGTGGTTTTTCGTGTTACCGTATTTTAATGTCGTTCGTTAAACCGGGGTCTCCGCATTGCCAGGGCGTCATTAATATTGGGATTTCCCCAATTCCCCGACTGGAAAATGGCGCGAAAAGCGTGATCACGTGGTTTATTACTGCTGCGCAATTCCAAGTTGTAGTCGGTTGTAGTGTCTACAAGTGAAGAGTTGATTGTCTTGTTTTTCTTTGAGCTTTAGAGGATGAAAATGCTGATCTTGAAGGAAGTTCAGACAGTGAATTCCCAGATGACGAGTTGCTAAAGATGTTACGTCAACGAGCAAGGAGATACAGAGAACAACTGAGGTAACTCCGATATTGATGAAAAAACAGTTGAGAGCTTCTTTAATCAACAACGACCGGCGACGGTTACGAAAACGTCACTTAAAAAATGGATTTGCGCTGCTTCAAACTTTATTATCGCGCTTGTTCCCCCTTCTTCAATTCGTCAGATTGAATCGTCAAGTTGAATTCTAAAGTATTGTATCAAAGTTTGTCGTCGTTACTCAAGCTCCCTAGTATATCTGCTGACCCTATCAATTTTCCCTCTCTGCGTGACGAGCACTATTGGCTTACTTCCGGGTACATAGACATGAGAAAAACCGGAAGTGTTTTCAATGCAAAACCAAATGATTGATAGCTCGTATTGAGATTTTCATTGGAGAGTTTATTGTTTGGATGTTTTTGTTGCAGATTCACGCATGTAAGTGTAACTGACGGAAAATGAATTCGGTACCATGTTTCATCTAATGTAAACGAAGCCGAAATGTTACATTAAGGTTTCACTGCATGATAATCTTATTTTTTCTCTTTTTCAGGCAAATAGACAATGTGTTAAACCAGCATACTCCCATATCAAGCTCATAGAACTTGAGGGAACAGAATTTAGATGAACCACTTTATTCACTGTATTTCAGATATAGATATTTATGAATAAATTGCAAAGTTATTTTTAATTAAGCTCAGTCTTTGGTTTCATTGAAACATTGCCTTCTGTCTTCAACTCAACTGGCCGTTGTTTAGCGTGGAAGGCGCATTAAACGCCCCACCCCGGAACCAGATAAGCGAAAAAGCGGAGACAGCGTGTAATGCGTCTTGTGTCCGCCATAAGGGACTTAAAGTGCCCATAACGAAATTTTTTTTATTTCGTCATCCAAATCTACATATCAAGCAATGACGTTTCCCGAAGAAATTTTTTGATTCCGTCGAAATGCGATTTTTTAATGATTTTTCTAAAGTCTTTGAAATCATAGTTTTTCGCGGTCTACCTGTTCCGCTGAGAAGAATACCGACGGGCTCATAATAAGCCCACGTGATTTGTCTGTGACGTAGACTCAGGAACCTTTGTTGTGAACGCGTCTCACTGATTCTTTAAGATTTGGAGCGAAACGAGCGAAAGAAAGCCAGAAATTTACCGGAATAGTTAAAGCCACAGCCAAAAATCAGCTGTATCAACGATGGAAGAAATCATGTCTGGTACAGAAAGTGAACGGACCGCCGAAGACAGTCAAGACGAGTTTGAAAGCATAGAAGTTGAGGCCACCGAGTTTGGCGAAAATCGAGCAAGTGGTATCACTGTAAGCACGAACGCAGATGATTCTTTAGAACCATACGCTGACGAGCCGCTGGCTGATGAAGCATGGTTAGCCAATTATAGGAAAATACAAGAAGAGAAATTACATTACACGCTGTCTCCGCTTTTTCGCTTCTCTCTTCTCCTTACCCCCCCACCCATGCCACCCCCTAGAAACACCTGATACTTGCGCTAAATTTGCTTTTCCTTAGGTGGCTCTTAAAATTAGGATTCCACTTAAGTACTTTTAAATAAAAAAGTAGCCTTTACTGTAAGCGAGGAATTAGTCATGGTCCTAGCCGGAAACAAACACTGCATTTTGAATCTCTCCTATGTGGATACTGTCTGGCCCCAAGTTCTGTCCTCTAGAGGGAGGTTGAGTTCGACTGTAGCCGGGCAAGAAGTGATACATCCTCGATTGTATCTCGGGGAGATACAATTGACTTACAGAGGGAAACCAATTCCGGGACTTTGACAAGTGAAGTGCCGGTTTTCCTTAAGAAATGAATGGGCAAGGACTTTATACTTGTCGCACAGTACACCCCGGGTAATGTTTCCTTTATCAGAAAGAAAACGCGAACTTGCGTCTCCCTTTTCCCTTTGTCTGGTTAACATGCGAGGAAACTGGCACTACTTATAAGCGCGCACGGACACCTGGTATAGCATGCCCTCCATCATGGCGGCTCCACTTAAGAAAGCAGTCAAAAATAGGGTACAATACCATGGGGAACGTTGTAATAGAGGGCAATTCATAGCACTGTGGAATACCACGTTTTAAAATCGTATATAATCGACTCTCTAGGACCCACAAACTATTTTATCACGCATTACACGAAAAAACCTAACATTTTTAGTGATATGAGCTGTTCTTTTAGTTTCTGAACGGTGATTTTGCAGTATTTCGTATCCGTGGTGTAGTTAACGTGCAAATCTGTCACCGAACCACCATGGTGCAGCAATGGCTAAAATCATTCTCCCGATACCAATCTGGATTTATCCTTTAGAATTGCCTCTTGGTCCCATTGTTTTTATCAGAAAGTGGTTTTGTGACGGGTTTATGGATGATTGAGACCATTGGCCGTAGACCTTACTTGATCCATCTTACTTGGAGTAGTCTCAAAAGTTAACGACCTAAGGCAGGCTTGACCTTCGTTCATGTAATTTACTTTTTATTGCATCAAGGCTTAATGCCAAGTCTGATACTTTAGTTTCATGGCATCGAGAACTTGGTGCCACAGCTGTTGATGCTTTCAGTTTTACCTGGGCTAATTTCAATTGTTACGCTTTTCCTCAGTTTTAGTCAGCTGTCTCGACTTTTGGCCAAAGAAAAAGGTAACCAAAACGTGTCCTAAGCCGTCTTCGCCATCTCTGTACGGTTTTATTTGCAGTCACTCGTAAGAAAAGCACTGATGTTATAAAGACTCCTTCTACTCACTGCGCCGTCTTATTAACGCCTGTTGGCTCGGATATCAATCACGGAATAAAAATAAAACAGCGCTGTCACCTATTAGGCAGCAGAATGAAGTGAAATGCCCATAGTAACTTAGTAGATGTCATGGATGGAGTCTTTCCTTCAAAAGAACCCTTTTCAAATAATGAATATCTGATTTTGGGTACAAACTTGAGTCGATGTAGATTTTCTTGCCGTTGGCAAACTAACAAAAACAACTTTTCCAATGGCTTATGAAGCCAAAAAAGGACGTCTTACCTTCTCGTTTTATGTGATAAAAAGGTTCACGCAAATATTTGTAAAAGTTAATTAAAAAATGAAAAATAAAAGGGTGTTGGAATCTTATTATAATCTTTTTTACTATCAGTTATCATCTTCGGCCGGACTTACTCTTCTCCGAAGCCACCCCTCTTCTATGAAGGGTGTTTTGAATTTTGTTATCAACGATGCAATCGATAATCAGTTCTGTTAAAGCTCTTTGGAAAGCTAAACTCCGGTGGTGAACAGGTTTCCAAAACGTTAGTTGTGCTTAATTATTGACTTAAACCTACTCTATCATGTCAAAAAATAGATTTTCTTTCCGAAAAAAACACATTTTTTAAAGACATGAACTTTTAATACTAACAAAATGAGACATGCTATAATTCTTCGAAAAGAAAATGGGTCCTGCTTAAGTCGAATCGGCGTACAATATTGCTTGTAATCAAACTGATAAAATACAATTTAATTTCCTTTTAGTGATGTTGGAGAGATTGTCGACCCTTTATTTTTTTACGGCACGATTTTAAGTGGGTACCAAGGTCACACATGTACAAGATGATTCTTAAGTTAAAAAAGCTGACAAACATTGTTTTAAAGAATAATACAAAGAATGGTAAAAGAGGGTCAAAAACGAGATTCACCCTGTGCAGATTCACCTGATCGGGATTCGGGATCGGCACCTGATCACAGTAGTATCCATAATAAAGAGGTTAAGTTTATAAGAAATTACTCTCTGGAGCCGAGATTTCGTGTCCGTTGTCCGTATTAGAGAGAGTCGGTATTATGGAGGTTTTTTTAAAGAAAATATATGAGAATTTCTCGGGACATTGGAAACTGTCCGTAATAGAGAGGAGTCCGTATTAGAGAGGTGTCCGTACTGAGAGGTTCGACTGTATTCTTTTCTAGTACTAATTATCACGTGAAAGGTTTAAATCCGGGAGTCATTTCAAAAGTAGGTTGAGTTTCATCGTCCGAGTAAACGTAGTCCTGAATAGAACTGTTGTTGTTGACATTGACTAATGTTTCGACAACCTGTGTGGTCATCTTCAGAGTCAAGGTAAGTTGTATCACGTCAGTTGATGGTATTATGCTCTGGTTATAGAGCAAAACTCTGCTGGTAAAAAGGTTACTTTCCAAAATGTTAGTTTTCTAATTCATTGAGTTCAAAATCATCCTCGGAGACCCAGGGGCAGATAGTGGGGGCGAGGGAAAGTCTCAACGGGCGGAAAAATATATATGGAACGAAGAAAAGTAAAGAACGGCGAGAAGAGCCCCTGGGGACAATGTCTTTACCAGACCAGTTCCAAACGGTCGCCGCTGCTCTGGCTTCTGATTGGTGCCAGAAAAACACAAGTTTTCTGGCACCAATCAGAAGCCAGAACGGCGGCGACCGTTTGGAACTGATCTGGTAAGACATTGTCCCCAGGGGCTCTTCTCGCCGTTCTTTACTCAGCTTTTCTTCGTTCCATATATATTTTTCCGCCCGTTTAGACTTTCCCTCGCCCCCACTATCTGCCCCTGGGTCTCCGAGGATGGTTCAAAATACTCGGTCATTTCAAAAAAAAAAAATTCTTTCAACAGAAAACCGTTTTAAAGGCATCATTTTTTGACACTTTCAAAGTGCGACATGCTATAATTCGTCGCTAGTACTCTCTAGGGTGGATCCCGATTTAGTTAAAGCGGCGTACAATGTTGCTTGTCCTCAACTTAACGGAAACACTTTAATAACTTTTTGCTGCGCTAATGATGTTGGACAGAGTGTGGACCCGTTTACCACGGCTTTCAGCGGATACCTAGGTCACGCATGTAAAAGATAACTGTTAATTTGTAGCAACAAATACGAGCTAAAAAATAAAGTTCTAAAGAACAATACAATGAATGCTAACCTGAGAATAGTATGATGAATGGTAAAAGAGGGTCAAAAATGTGACTCTACGTACCGCGCCACGAAAAGCCTTTCCCCTTAATAAAAAAGGAGTTTTAAAGGAAATTGATCTTTCACAGTTTAGCCTAAAAAATTGCTAGA